ATATAAGCTATGGTGAACATGTTATATAACATAGCTTCAATCATACGTCTCTAATTCAACTTTCTAAATTGCATGAAAGAATGAATGGATCTGCATTTATTGTCATTCATCGGAGGTTTTTAATTGCCATTGACACAGTTTTCATCAAATTTCTATTCATCAATAATTAATATCTAGTTGCCTACCCTGTCGAGGAAAATTTACGTAATAACAGGTCTGCGATAGCTGTTACCGAAACGCTATAATTAAAAAAAAGGCGAGGGAAATCACTCTTTGAATTTCATGCATATTTCTTAAAATTTCACATTCGTGAAATACCAGCTTACCTTTGTTTCCTTTCAAAAAGTAATTGCCATGTACACATCGCAAGAAGTAATCACGCACAAGCAAAAGTTTACCAAATGAGAGTTGCATCACCAATCTTCGATATGTATCTTAGCAGTTTGATTTAAATCTGTTAGTTCCACAAAATGCTCGTTAATTTCATTGGAAATATTAGTCGACCATTTTGATGAAAATGCGCATCAAAGTTCTGAGCAGATTTTTATGCAAATTCATGTTTTTTATAAATATAAGCAAAAAAATTATACTATTACTATATACTATGCTATACTACGCTATTACTATATACTATACTATATACTATGCTATACTATTAGATAGCAAAAAATACTATATATAATAATATATAAATATAATGTACTATACTATACTATATATATATAATATACTAATATACTAATATATATAATACTATAACATAACTATAGCAAAAAATATATTATACTATATAATACCATTTTGATGAAAATGCACATCAAAGTTCTGAGCAGATTTTTATGCAAATTCATGTTTTTTATAAATATAAGCAAAAAAATTATACTATTACTATATACTATGCTATACTATTATATAGCAAAAAATACTATATATAATAATATATAAATATAATGTACTATACTATATATATATATATATATATATACTAATATACTAATATATATAATACTATAACATATAGCAAAAAATATATTATACTATATAATATATTATATAATTATAAATTTAAATTAAAAATATATTACATACTATACAGCATGCTATACTATACTATAGCAAAAAATATATTATATAATTATAAATTTAAATTAAAAATATATTATACACTATATAGCAAAAAAATTATACCATTATGTTTCATACGTACATTTAAAAGAAACTAGAACAATTCTTCTGAAAATATTCTCAAACAATCGCAAAGTTTTTAAACAGTTTTAAAAGATTGCGCGATCATTCCCACTGCATTCGGCAAATTGAGCAAAAATTCCGGGGAATTCCAGTTATCACAAAAAAAAAAAAAAAAAAAGAATACTATTCATCGTCGATCACTCCTTCACAACGAAGTTTCATTCACGGACGTGAGATTCGCGCGCGTAGTGGATCATCTCATTAATTCCTGGCCGTGAAACGCGTCGGAAAAGCGGAGGGAAACGATTTCTCCGCCGCGTCTTTTTCTCACGATCGTCGATCATGCGAGCGTCCTTGGCTCGGGAGCACGGCTTACGAAATGCCCGTTTCTATTTAACTGCAGCTCGATGAGACGGTTCACAGGGTCGTTCTCGGAGACACTCGATCTAATTTCCCATGCACGCACTCAATCGAGCAGCGTCACGATGCAAAACCGTGCTCCATTCGATGATCACGCGTGCCTTCCGTACCTCAGATTGATAACGATCAATTAGGAGTGGACGAGCTATTGTCAACAATGACGGAGAAACCAGACGCGTAGAAACAAGCGCTGGAAAACCTTGTGAGAATTCACGATTCTTCCCCAGTTGCGCGTTTGATGCAGAGGAGAAGACTCGACGAAGGAATGATCGTTTGAAAGGAGTTTAGTAAAAAAAATAGCAAACTAGTAAATTAATAGTCGTATCTTTTTTTTTTTTTTCATTCTTTCTTAGAAGACTTGAGAAATAGAAAACTATGACGCAAGGTTTCTTGTTACATGTACGATTTTGTTGCAGTCTCGTTATGTGACGACGGGAAACGAGTTATTTATATCCAATACAACTGTTCTCTTATTAAGAATAATTGAATCCAGAAGCAAAGACGGCGAGATGTTAAATTTCTTACGACTCGTCGAATCACAGTTCACCATTCAATAGATATTGTCTGCTAATGCGTTAGACAAGTAAATTCGTCAGCGCGTGTTCCTTGCATTTACAACGTAATCGTGCGTCACTTGTCGTACACGTAAATGGTTCGAGGCGAGGGATTCGAAATAAAAAAAACAATTTTAATCACCGTTCCTAGAGAATTTACATTCTTCCAGGTTCTTATTCATCGAGATTAAGATTGAAAAGGAGAATAATTAAAAGGGGAGGAATCCCAGTTTCAATGTCCCTGTTGCTATTCATCGCGATTGCAGCCAAGTGTGTATCAAGTGTCAGTCGTACATATTTTTACAGAATGAGAAAGGGCTGGCTGAATAATAAAAAGAAAACTCGTCCGGTAATTGGATAAAGGAAGCCCCACTGCTTTGTGCCGATCTGTGTCAGCAAGTAGCGACACTACACTGGCGAGATCTTGCTATCACAGCCGAGAATACCTCTCACGGTCGTCCGAATAACCACTCTCGTCAAGATAATCATTTTTTCATTGATACAAATTGTTTCCTGATCGGTCGAGTCGTATCTCGACCAAGAGTCTTCGGTTCGTTAATCGTTCGTGATGCATCGCGCAATCGAAATCCAGCCGCGGTGATTTGCATAATAAATGGCGCTTGTCACCGTTCGTGGCATTAGCGATGCGTTCACGATCGAAGACCGTAACGATTGCCTGTTCCTCTTTTTCCTTCGATTCTCCGAATTCTTCGACAGACGTTCCGTTTTTTTTTTTTTTTTTTTCTTTTCTTTTCTTTTTTAGATGGACGCGCGTGTTCGTCCGTAGTGTCATTGCACACGTTCGTCGTAGCTCGCGAACGAAGCGGAGAACTCGCGTGTCTCACGCGAGATTGCTCATGAAAATTGGTGTAACCTAACGCTTGGCCAGTCACCCTGGTAACGCTTGGATGAGCCCGACGCACGAAGAATTTGCAATACGCAAACTATTCGTTATCTTCGTTTGAAACTCGATCTTGCACATGCGGTAGCAGCAACAGCAACAGCACTCTGTGCCCGGGAGAAGAAATTTCTGAAACGAAAGTAACTTTCGTGCAAGAAAGTTGTTTTATAAGTCGGATATGACGTAGCATCGTAGCATAGTTTCAGTGATCTAGTTGTGCTAGCCACATCAGCCACGATTGATCTTTCTAGATCTTTAAATGATAAATAAATTATCCACGTCTAATTACTGAATTACTGAATGTCTGTGAATTCATCTAGATTTTTAACGTAAACGTAATTGCGAAAAGCTGGAGCACGTTAAATTGAGATTCGTTTTTTATCGTTAAACGCTACGTGCAATAATGTTAATACTTTACACTTCTGTGTCATGCTGGGCATGACAATATAAATTTGTTGTAAAACTCGTATGTCATACTAAGAAAAATACTATACTTTAAAAAATCCTGAAAATTAAATCTTATAATAATAATCCTAAAAATTAAATCTTATATTAATAATTATAATAATAATAATCCTAAAATTAAATCTTGCAATAATAATTATAATAATAATAATCTTAAAAATTAAATCTTATAATAATAATTACAATAATAATCCTAAAAATTAAATCTTATAATAATAATTATAATAATAATAATCCTGAAAATTAAATCTTATAATAATAATCCTAAAAATTAAACCTTATATTAATAATTATAATAATAATAGTCCTAAAATTAAATCTTATGATAATAATTATAATAATAATAATCTTAAAAATTAAATCTTATAATAATAATTATAATAATAATCCTAAAAATTAAATCTTATAATAATAATCCTAAAAATTAAATCTTATAATAATAATTATAATAATAATAATCCTAAAAATTAAGTCTTATAATAATAATTATAATAATAATCCTAAAAATTAAGTCTTATAATAAAAATTATAATAATAATAATCCTAAAAATTAAATCTTATAATAACAATTAAAATAATAATAATCCTAAAAATTATTATAATAATAATTCTAAAAAATTAAATATTATAATAATAATCCTAAACATCGAATCTTAATAACAATAATAAAATAAATATAAAACGTTGAATTCCACCGCTGTAAATCACTTTAACTCATTTGCCCAAAAATAAACGCAAGTTTACGCCCATCAACAACATTGAAAATAAATCGAGTGCAAAGGATTAATAAATAGCAAGGGCTGATAAAACATGACGATGGCCAAGAATGAAGCTAGCGAATGATGAATCTGAAATTGTTTAAGAGACATGCGAAGGTGTGGGAGGGGAAAAGAAGGGAAAACCATGCGGTCGGCGAGTGCTCTCGAAATAAATTTATTTTGGTCCACGGCCATCGGCCACGTTTGGGGCACGTTTTCTTGCGAAATCGGTTTTGTATATTAATGATGCAGTTGAGCTGCTACATCCTGGACTATTTCTGGGATGAATTTTTTCCTCGAAAACATCGTCGTCGATATATACGACGTATGGGGTGGTGATGCACGTGCACCACGTTATTGTTGTAGGACAGCGTGAATTATGTACGTAAATCGATACGCTGCCACGTAAATCGGCTTTGTAGCTCAATCGAGAGGGATCTCTAATCTTCAAAAACCTCTCCATGATCTTAAAGTGAACGCAGCCACCCTTTAACTCTGTAATCTATGTCTTCAAAATCTTAAAAACTCGAACGATAGATAGAACGATGAATTTAAATAATTTGTATTTGTACGCGAGAATCGCGAGAACTCTTCGAGTATTAGGGACGACACGATTGTCCTCTGTGTCGCGTGACAGGAATTAATTTGCAACTTCAATACCGTAATGACATGTCGCGAGGGAGATTACAACTCAATGCTTCCCTTTGTTTCTAGGTTCAACAATTCCTCAGAAATATGAAGGAAAACAGGGATGTCCCTCAAAGATCGCAGAGCAGCGCGGCGAGCCTGATGTCTCTAGGTGCTGACATATCTCCAAGCTCTTCTCATTTCTTCGAGGTGACGTTTCTGTTTCTTTTTTTAAAACGTTCTTTTTAACATTCATCCATGACGCAGAACGCAACATGAGATTGTACTAGAAGTAAAAATTCATTCAGAGAGATAAGAGTCGTACCTGTCATTGATAACGAAATAACAGCTTCTAAATACTACTTTAAAAGAATAGCGTAGGTGTGATCTTTAAAAAGCTAGAGACACTTGACTTAACTTGACCAACAATCGACATTTGTTTTCAGGTGCTCTACGTAGGGAAAATCAGAGTGTCGCATCCGAAGGTGTCGGAGACCTTTATAGACGATGCGCTAGTAAGATTTCGCGTTCACGGTCTCGAGAAATCGAGACCATCGGCGACTAACTTTCTTTCCGAGTATCAACGTCAATCACTTTTAACGTCTTCCAATAACAGGAGAAACAGCACGGTAAGTTATCTCAACTTTTTCCACTTTTGAAATAAATTACACACTGTGTACGCTAATTACAGAGTATTTAGAAAAAAATAAAAAAAAAAAAAAAAATTGTACTTCAGGAATCCAGTGCTAGTGAGGCTGGAAGTATAGAAAATGTATCCGGAAGTGGTATCATATCGCCGGTCAACTCGCTGGGTGTACCGTCGACGCTTACCGGGTCGGTGGAAACGTTTCCAAAGACGCAGAACGCCAATCTCGCGGAGAAAGACGAGCGCGAGGAGAACCGAGACGTTACGAACAATAATTCCATGCAAGTGCCGGAAGTTATGCGAACACGGGCGTCTTCCACGGGCAGCGTATTGAATACCAGGAGGGATTCCTTGGCGAGAGGGAGTGACGAACATAATCGCACGATGCTGTTCCAGGTAAATCATTCATATCGTAACTTCGTGAAATTCGCGTATTGAAACTCTAACGTCTGAAATCTGACGTTAAATTTTAGGTAGGCCGGCATGATTTGAGACTAATCAGCCCGGATAGGAAGCAAGTGCTGCTTCACAAACAGCTCAGAGACGTGGCCAGTTGCGTACAAGGCGTCAAGAATCCAGAACATTTTGGTTTCATTTGCAAAGAGAATAACGTAGAGTTTTTTATCGGCTACGTATTCAAGTGCCAATCGGAATCGGTTGCGGATGATCTTGTTGCCGGTAAGATAAGGCTTTTGTTGATGTTGATTTACGTTTGATCAAATAAATTTGATAATGTACGTACCTCGTTTTTATCAATTAATCTTATCTGTGTGTCGAATATAGTATATTGTTTCCATTGTTTTCTAATCAAGTGTATTTGATTTCGCAAAAAGAATCATGTGTAGCACAATGTGGAATACACATATGTGATATAGAAAAGCGTCATAATTTAAAATAATGTACTGACTGTTTTAGCTATTTCGCAAGCGTTTGTTGGAACATGCGAGGTTCCAAGAAAGGAACGATATCCCGTATTTTCATGCGAACACTGCCCGATGTATTGGTATAATAAGTTGTGCCAGGAAATCGAAGGTAATTACGAGTGTACTCGTTTCTTTTTTCTCCCTTTAATTTACAAGAAAATTGTGGGACGAGTAAGAGGCTGTTCGCGTGTTCTCCTTGTCCTGCAGGACAAAACGATAGGAGGACACAGAATATCATTTTCACACGGATGGAAATACTGCCGGAGGATGAGCAGGAAATTGTCGTTACTAAATACAAAAATGCCGAAGCTGCTGGCGGCACAGGGACAAGTTTACGCGAGCAAAATCAATTTTTAATGAGGCTGTTGCGTGTCCATTGCGAAGCGAAACAGGCCAGACACGTGCATGACACAGCGGAAAATAGGTAAGGTTTCTTTTAACAAAAAGATATCATCTCAAGCGTTTATCGAACGTTTGTCGTACAAATTTTTTATTCATATTGAGGTGATTTCATTTAATTCATAATACATTGGCAGGAGTGAATTTCTTAATCAGTACTTAAGCGTGGGTGTCGGAAGCACAATATTCATGAAAGCAAAGCGCTCGCTTACAAATAGCTTTGATAACCTCATGAAGAGGAAGGGTTCGCGGGACGACCTTGGACTTGGTTCACATTTAAAAGATACGAGCCACCTTAACACTGTGATACAAAAAAGCGGTAGCCAAAGCCCCGATATGTCGCGACAGTCATCCATAACCGATATTTCGCCGGATTCTAACAGGCCCAGATCTCTAAGGGTTTCGCCTGAACAGCAGTTAACCGTGAACACTGGACCAAAGAGTTCTATGATGGACATGTGCGTACAGTTTCTCAGAATTACGATATATTGTACATGATTTTTGACAATTATATTTTCGAATAGATTCCTGAAGGTGGGAAATTCGCCAAAAATGTCTCCAACCGAGGCGGATGGAAACAATTCGGTGCATTCGAATAGCTCGTGGAGACAAGCTATTTTGAATCGAGTCGTAACTCCTAATAAAGATCACGAAAAGGAAAGTGATAAACCAGGAAATATTAGTATCATTAAATCCCCTCAAATGATGCCAGCGCGCAGAACAAAACAAGAATTGAGGGAACTTTGGAAGAAAGCAATCAATCAGCAATTGATACTTATACGCATGGAGAAGGAGAATGCGAGACTTAGAGGTATGTAATATGTCATATCTTTTTGTGAATAATAAGAATATAATTATCTAAAAATGTACTTGTCTAGTTCGCCAAGAGGAAGCGACTGTTAAGAGAATAAAATTGGAATATGATGAACTTAGTAGCTGCGCTCGTGAATTAGTAGAAGTGTGGGACCTTCTTGTAAGTAAGGAGTCAAGGATCTCTACAAAATGTGATAATCAAATGCTTTTACACGCTATTAAACAAGGTAGGTCGCTATAAAAATTTAAGTATCAGATTTATTATTTCTGAACCTAAAAATTATATATATGTGTGTGTTATATAATTTATATCGATGTAGGTGTACCAAAAGGAAAAAGAGGAGAAGTATGGCAATTTTTGGCCGAACAATTTTGTTTGAAGCAACCGCCTATAGACACGCACGATTTTCCTAATTACAATACAGCATACGATTTACTTTTAAAACAACTCACGTCTCAACAACATGCAATTTTAATAGACTTGGGGCGAACATTTCCAAACCATCCGTATTTCAGTTCACCTCTGGGACCTGGACAGTTAGCTTTATTCAATTTATTGAAAGCTTACTCGCTTTTGGATCATGAAGTTGGTTATTGTCAAGGTCTTAGTTTCGTGGCTGGGGTCCTTCTGTTACATGTGAGTTTAAATATTTTTTGTAATTAGTTTATTTTTAATTGTTTTTAATGAATATTTTTTCTTAAAACATAATGTATTGCATTTCTTTTAATACTGTTTTTAATAGATGTCAGAAGATCAAGCCTTTTTTCTTCTGCGACACTTAATGTTCCGAAGAGGCCTAAGGAAATTGTATCTTCCCGACATGGCAGCATTGCAATTGTATCTGTATCAATTATCTAGGCTATTGCACGATAGGTTATCAACAATTTATAATCATTTCGACAAGCATGAAGTTTCTCCTACGCTGTACGCTGCACCATGGTTATTAACTCTATTTGCCAGTCAATTTCCACTTGGTTTTGTCACTAGAGTTTTTGGTAAGTAAAACAAGGTGAAAACAAATTCACTTGTAGAGATATTTATTTTCAAATTCTTATTTTTAAAATATTCATTTTCTATATTTATCGTTGTAGATTTACTGTTTTTGGAAAGCACTGAGGTACTTTTCCGAGTATCGATGGCTTTATTAGAAGAACACCAAGATCAGTTATTAATGTGCGACAGTTTTGAAGAAATTATGGAATACCTTAAAGTAAGAAAGAAAGACACTTGTGGATTAAATAACTTCCGAAGATGACTATTATTATTTCTTCATTATTTTATTTAATTATAGACACGTGTGCCAGCTGTGGATAAAGAGATTCTGGATCGTGTTATGAAACGCGTATTCTATCCGGATCAGGAGATTACGAAGCAATTGAACGAATACAGAGTGGAATACCAAGTATTGCAGGAAGAAATGATGTCGGTGAAACCGCAAATCGAAAGTCTGGAGAAGTTCAAAATACTTAACAAGCAACTTACGCAAGAAGTCGCTCAACTCAATGAGCAACTCGAAGTAAATTCCCTCAAAGTTAATCTTATTTGAAAGTCATACATTTTTACTATTTCTAAAATAAATCAAATTATATTTATAGATTACTATGAGTAACTTGCACCGTTTGGAGACAGGACGATCAGTACAGCAATCGACTCTATTGAAACTTGAGTCTCACAACCGTAGTCTCGAAGTTACTGTCGCCACATTGGGTGCGTTCATTCAACAACTCTCCGAAACTCGTCCAGACATTGAATTTCCTGGTGAAATTCGTCGAATAATTGCTCAGCTGAGTCTCGCTGAGAAACGAAGAAGCACAACCGGCCGATCGTTCCCTCTAAAAGTGATCGAGGACAACAACAAAATGGGAATGATTAAAAGTAACTCGACAGGAAGAGAATCTCACAATTTCTTGAAAAATAACAGCGTAGTGGATCCCCCTTATCCTTTAAAATCCACGCTGAGCCAACCAAACTTGGCCACAAAACTCGAGAAAGTCTCGTCGTTTTTCTCGAACTCGCACAATCATATTCAGAAGCAACGAGCACAATTGGCCGCTCTTAGAAACGAGTACGCAAGCGAACAGGTTGTCAGAAACGACGAGAACGATCCGAAAACCGTCAACATTGACATTCAAATCACCGACGCGATGAACTCGACCGAAGAGCAGGACATACCGCAGAACGATGATAATCATTTGAAGATCCAGCCAATCAACTTAGAAAAATCGGCTTCGCTGCCATTGAACGCGAAGATAAAGCTGAAGTCGTCCAAGTCCGCTTACGAGCTGGGATCCGTTAAGAAAGTACCGATTACCAAGTTGGAAGTTACAAATGACGACAACGTGACGAGTTTAACTGGAACGATACATCCGCTGGATTCCTGTAGCGACGTGAACTTCAGATATGGCGGAACAACGAAATTAAAGTCGATAAAGCCAACGAGATTTCCAAGTCCAAGCGGCCAGGACGAAGGTGTGAGCAAGAACGGCCAGAGCCAGAATATGGAGACGTTGAACAGATAACAATTGCTGATGATGCTGCGTTCACGGAAGATACCTTGGAAGATAACTAACTTGAGAAAAGTCTATCCGAAAAGCTAACGGAACGGAACATTGTCCAGGTTTTACCTTTATATTTGTCGTTCTCTCTTATATATCTTACAATAACTTTTTGATACGGCAACGATCAATTTTCATTTTTTAACAAGATATATCCGTCGTTCGTAAGGAGCAGTTTGTTGATCAAAATATGCTGAGACTCGCACTTTCCTTTTACTTGTACCAATGATTTTAATATCAAGTGATAAAGAACGGAAGAGAAGCAAAACTTATATATAACAAAGTCAATTTATAATATATAAAAACACGGCGAATATTGTGTGCATGCGTATGTATGGGTGTGTGCGTCAAACATAGTACGTATCATGTATATAGATAAATGAGAAATTTAGAGAAGAAGAATTAAGAAGAATGAGTACAGCCGACTTAGTAATTCTCAGAAATTAATATAATATATTCATTGCTGATGAGAGGTTTGTTTGGAACGACAGTAACACGATTTCTATTGACTTTTGCGAAATAACAGAATTGTAGATAATCGTAATTGGAGGATATATTATTTAATAAAGTAACGTGTTACTAAATTTCTTACAATCCAGCAAGTAGGAGTCATATCTGTATCAAAATGTACACTAGTTTATTACAAAATTGATAGGAATTCGTTTAAGAAATAAATATTAAATTAAAGGAATAAACGTTGTTTGTTCGATTAATGATACATCTTTTGTTATTAGTATATAGTTGCCCGAAATCTTTATTTAGCCACGTAGCAAGTTTATTAATGGATGAGATAATTTAAATTTTCGATAGTCTTTCCAAGTTGTTCAACAATTCCTGGCTAACGATACAAAATATATCGTTGCATTAATAAAAACATAGTTTTGACGATAAAACAATAATTTTTTCATTCAATTACGAAGAATTCCTATTAATTTTGTATAAATCGTCGAGCGAAGTGCCAAACTTTTTAAAAAAAAAAGAAAAAAAAATGTTTTTAAACTGTAAACATCTTGTGTATATTCAAAACATATTTATAAGATATAATTTATATAATTATTGTGCACTGTGTAAGATTCGAGGAATCAGCAAGTATTATTACTATTTTTGCACAAAGGAAAGCCTTGTGATATCAGGGATATATATGTAATATTTAATATCGTTTTAACATTCTTATAGGGAAAGAGATCATTTTTTAAATATGAAATAATGATGCCGTAGTTCATAAAAAAATACTCAAAATAATATCAATAGCAAATTCGTACTCTTATCGCGTGTCTCGATTGATCTTTCCGTCTATAACAAGGCGATAAATATTTTTCACTTCAAAGTAACATATTGTAAAATGAGGAAATACAAAGAATGTTTCTGTAAGTTTGTATAGCAACCACTAGGAAGGATAAAGTATTTTATAGTATTAAAGTTTCTATCTTCCGAATAGCGATTTTTACGGGTAGGTAAAACTAGGAATTTTAATCGTAAATTGTGATGAACAATTAAGAGGTAACGTTAATATATTTATAGCTTTTATGCACATGTTACTGTTAGTATATAGAAACTATTATTCTAATGTCGATATACATAATAAGATGCAACCGTGGACAGTCGTTTGTTCCCCATACTTAATTTTATTGTGATAGCAGTCAATTTATTTGATTAAAGAAGAGGAAATATTTTAGGTATAGGGGGGAGGGGAGAGAGAGAGAGAGAGAGAGCATCATTACTGGGAAAAAAAGGAACTGTGACAAAATATGAGTTTATACTGTTTTATACACACCGAGAAAATTATATCGAAAATTTCATACATCCATTTTTTTTGCATATCTGACTTGTAATGTAAATAAAGCTTTTTCAAATCTTCTGTAAAATATATATGAATACGACATTTCGATCATATCATAGACAACTGTAATGTTCCCTTATGATAAAACTTCAAGTATAAAATAAATAACTATATTACCACAGACATTTAACGTATTTTTATACTATCTATCTCATAAATTTATGACCAGTATAATTTAAAAATTTTTTAGTTAACAAAACACTGTAATCGTAATCACAGTTGACCAGCACTATTCGTTATACAACTTTCTTTTTCAGTTGCAAGTTTCATAACAAGTTTATTATCTCAAATATATGGTAGTGTAATCTGTAATTGTATTGCATATAGTAATAATAGGATTGCTAAGGTTACCTTGTACGTAAAAATTTATCAATTTTGTATGATAAAAGTTCAACTTCATTTGGCAAGACATTTCAATCCTTTACCCATTATCTATTCTAAGATTTGTAAAAATTGCAAAAAATATATAAAAATATATAAATGTATAAAAAAATGTACAAAATATAAGAACCTTCTGCATCTGCAAAAGTTCATAAATTTAACCTTTTAATTAGTTTAACAAATTTCTTTTTACAAATACAAATTTGATCAATACATAGACACAAGTGCTAGCTGTCAAGTTATGCAATGTGGCAGACAAGGAGAGCAACACTGTTAAACAAGGACAGAATTATATAATGGAGCAGACAAGGAGCGCAGCAGTATTAGACGAGGACAGACTCATTGTCTACCGCACAGATATGTCCGTCCTTGTCCAACGCTATTGCCCTCCTTGTCGACCGCATAGATATGTCTATCCTTGTCGCACGCTATTGCTCTCCTTGTCTACCGCACATATATGTCTGTCTTTGTCACACGCTAGTGCTCTTTTTGTCTAATGACGCCAGACAAGGAAAGCAATAGTGTGCGAGAAGGACATTCTTCGATCTATTGAAAAAAAAAATTCAACTTTTTACACACGCGTTTTTCTAGAACAAAACACACATAGAAAGAAAGCGCGGAGCCTAATTTTAAGGAAGCATATAAAAAAGTTCGCAAATTATTCCTCTTAATTAGGTTTTTTTCGTAATTAGTGCAAACTGTCATAAAATGGACATGGTCGCGCCATCTAGCGGTAATTCAATGGTACTAATTATTTAGAAGAATACTTATTTCTGCATTTTACAGGTCAAATGTGGTATGAAAAGAAAGCTAAGAGTCTAATTAGGGTAATACAATCGCCAAAGTTCACAATTCATTTCGCTAAATTAGGTTTTTCCGCAAATGAAAATTTCTCTGTTTTACGGGGTAAGAAACACTAGCGTTGTGGCAGAACGGTAGAACTAAACGCTCTACAACCATATGAAGGGAATAATTAATTTTAATTTTTCACGCCACAAATTTGCACTCCACGAACATATATTTCAAAGATAATGCTATCAGTTACGTTCGCAAATAAATCTGAATCTAATATTCACTATAGTTTGCGCGAAATTATGCACTCATTACTGGCGCTACTACTAACGTGAACGAAATGGAAACATTTTTTATATACGTAAACTATACTTAAACTGTATATAACGTAAAACGCAAGCTTAGGGTCTCTAAAATCGAAGCCGCAACCATAACAGTTCACAAATGATTCCTCTTAATTAATTTCGTCTCGTAATTTGCGGAGAAACTGTCACCTGTCAGTTTGGAAGCAACGGTGGCGCCATCTGTTGAGAACTCGGTGGTACTAAAAACTGAATTTTCTACTTTTGGCGATTGTATTACCCCAATTAGACTCTTAGCTTTTTTTTCACACCACATTTGACCCGTAAAATGCAGAATAAATATTCTTATAAATAAATAGTACCACTGAATTACCGCTAGATGGCGCCACTATGTCCATTTTGTAACAGTTTGCACTAATTACGAAAAAGACCTAATTAAGAGGAATAATTTGCGAACTTTTTTATATGCTTCCTTAAAATTAGGCTCCGCGCTTTCTTTCTATGTGTGTTTTGTCCTAGAAAAACGCGTGTGTAAAAAGTTGAATTTTTTTTTCAATAGATCAAAGGATGTCCTTCTCGCACACTGTTGCTTTCCTTGTCTGGCGTCATTAGACAAAGAGAGCACTAGCGTGTGACAAAGACAGACATATATGTGCGGTAGACAAGAGCAATAGCGTGCGACAAGGATAGACATATCTATGCGGTAGACAAGGAGGGCGATAGCGTTGCACAAGGACGGACATATTCGCGCGGTAAACAAGGGCGATAGCGTGAGACAAGGACAGACATATTTGTGAAAAAAATTAGTTCCCTTTGTAGTCTAAGTGTTTTATTATCATGTAAGTGATTAACAAATTAAAGGAGAAATGTGCAATTATTTGCTTTCCGACAATATTAATGTACTATTCTGTCTGAAAAAGTGTGCCGATAAAAGATTTTTTCTGCCTCTACGTTATATACAGATCTTATAGAAATTAACTCTAAGACTTAATGTTTTGACTTCGATATGCTAGTCCTGAAAAAAGAGAAAGACAGTCATGAGTTTCGTGAAATTAATTTCTTACAGCTGTTATTATTATACAGCAATATGAAATTCTTTTACGTTTGCATTTGTTTGCTTCCACTGAGTACTATGTATGGCGACTGAGTTTCTTTTTGTTTTGCTTGCAGTAAATTAAGCGTTCCCAGAGGCGTGTCTGTAGATGACATTCGCTTCATTAAAACTTCTTGTTCTGCTTTCTTCATTCGTTTCTCAACCTATATAAATCGAAGTTGCATTCAGTCTACATCTCGTAGTTTAAAGAAGGTAGAATATAGAAAACAAATAGGTCGACCTTATTTTTTCCTGGGCCTTTCCCATGGAATTTATGCGAGAGATATCGAAAAGCTTCCTTTGCACTTAAAACGTGACCATCGTCGTCGATGTATTCCAGCTTGACGTTTGGTTTGAAACCATCTTTCTCTTTGAACTCTGACGTTGGACCATTGAAACGATCCCTTCTACCAAATTTGTCATCATCTCTAGAAAACAGAAAGAAATACAAATAACAATAAGCTTTATTTAAATGTAAACCTTAACGATAGCTCGTGGAATTCGGTGTTTCGAAATTTATGTTACCGCGAACAAAAAATTTATAAATTCCAAGATACATTACATTATGCGATTAAATTAATACGAATCTAAACAAGTCGATATAATTATCGTAATCAATCGTATATACTTATGAGAAATATATTTAAGTTAACTAATATATTAACTAATTATATAGTAAATTATTAGTAATCATTCCTCTTAAAAAAAAAGATTAATTTTTGTGACATATTTAATAAAACGTATACCGATAAATATTGAAAAAATTTAAGTTTAAACCAAGAGCATGTCTAAGTCTTTATCCTAAAGGTTATTTTATTGTCCATACTTGAACATGCATGTACGAAATGCAATAATACAAAATTATGCTGATAGCAGATGAACTTTTTTTTCTTACTAATTATGTTAATGGCAACTTCGATCCATACTTGGACTTGTCTAGAACGCTCGTACAGACCTCGCTTGGAACAGTAAAATCGCATAATATAAACATACCTCTATCAATCCTACTCTCTTCTCAGGCCTTTCATCATCTCCGACAAAGTAGTTAATCTCTTGTTGCGGTAGCAGATCATCCATTTTCCGAGCACCGAAATCTGAGCTCTCTATTTACGACTGTTAACTAACAGTTTGAAATTCACTAGAGACTCGTCTAACAAGATTCGTTGGTGTGCATTCAATAGAAGAATATTTCTCACACTAATTTTTCTTTTCAAATATGTGAGAAAGCTTCTTGTATTGAATGATAGTTATATTCCATACATACCCGTAAGTCTTGTCCTCTATCGAGTAATTTTGAGCCTGTAGATGAGCGAAACGAGACGCCGATGGTCTACTACTATCCTCTTTTTGTAAATAACCTTTACTCATAGCGAGTTTTAACGCTCCACCAACGCCGTGCCCGAGCGAAGGTTCTGCATCCAAAATCGCAGCTTCCATTGCTACTGGTTCTGACGTACTTTCATCTGTTTGTAAAATATAAAACGATTGCACAAGATTTCTACAGTGTAAAAGATTGTTCTTGGATATTGCAGATACCTAAATGAACAGTATTCCACGCGCCACGGCCATCATCTTCCTCTTCGTTTGCAGGAGGTTCCTCTTTGACTCCATCCATTTCAAAGTCCTATATTTTTTTATTTTAAAAGAAAAGAGATTCAAATAATACCGTTTGAGAAAGAACCTTGAGAAAGAACATTCAATACCATTAGTTCTTGTCCATTTTCTTCCCTATTCCCGGCAAGACCATAAGTAGGAATGTCTCCTAAAGTTCTGCAAAATTCTGCAGTGGCGTTAAGAACGATATTTCCAGATTGATTTTCTTCAGAGCCCATAGGCTCTTGCTTTATGGTTTCAACAACCTTTTCAATACTTGACGATTGTGATTCCTTCAGTTTTTGAGCTTTCTTTAACGCCAATTGTAATTCCAGCTCTTTGTCATCTTCTTCCAATTTTATTCCACTGAGATCTTCAGCGGGAGCTTGGAAATGAAGAAAAATCAATTTAATTTATAATTTGAATGTCAAGAGATGATTGTAATTTCTAAGAAATACACGAAATACCTCCTAAATCATCTACATCTAAAGCATCATTTTCTTTTACATCCTCAGTTCGTTTGGTTCTTCTACTTCCAAGATCTCGAAGATAATCATTATCTTCAGGAATTAAGTCTTCCGCTTTTAATTTTTTCCTAATCTTTCGAACCTGAAGTAATAAATAATAACAAAAATGTTAATTGCACAGTGGTCAAAAATGGCATAAAATTTTACCTTTTTCTTTGGCTTTTTAAATTTTGCAAGTTCTTCCTCATTATAATATTCACTAGCCAGTTTTGGCTCTATTAATTGCAATGATTCTAATCGTTTGTTTGCTAAACGTTGTTTTACGTAGTCAAGTTTGTTCTGTTTGACATCTTTGATATTATTAACACCTAGAGTGAAAGTCTCTTTTTTCGTCCCTTCGATTTCTTCATCATATTTTTCTAAAATCGTTTTCTTTGGGAATCCGAATTCATCGAAATTATCGTCGTCGTATGCATCGTAACCAGACTTTTTCGTCTTGTTGAAAATATTACGTTGATAACGTTCCTCATCCGTTATGTTTACATTAACGAGCACATCATCGCCTTCTTCTAACACTTCCTGATCTTTCAGTGTTAAGATCAGTGTCTTACCTTCTTCAAATTTGTCCTGTTGAACGTCGTAATGTAAATAATTGAAATAATTATAATAACATTGATCTAAATACTTACAATATTGTGTTCCACTTTGAGGCCCTTCAAATTTTTTTCAGTGTAAGCCGTATTGCGGGCAGCGTGAATTTCTTCTTTAACCAAATTTCCAATTCCAAATTCTTCATCTAATTGATCTAACATTTTTGCCTAGTATAGAAATAAAAAAGATTAGAATGTTAACTAAGGATATATTAATTGTGTACTATACATTTGAAACACTTCAAAAATACCCTTTCTTCTGCTTTTTTCTTTTCTTCCTCCAAACGTCTGGTTTTGTCAATCCAATTTTTGGTATCATCATCAGAATCACATTCACCTAAACTTTTTACTTTGGCTAAATTGGCCTCGATCAATCTCTTCTGTTTCTGAGTACCAATTTTCTCTTTTAATTTCTGTGTCTTTAACTTTTCATTAACATCAGGAGCAGGCTTGTGATAAAATTCTCCCAAGTCATCCTTAATCTTATTAGGATCATCTTTTGGGCCACTGTCAACCTCTAAAGGCTTCAAACCTAACTTTGCTCTCAATTTGTTAGTCTCCTCGATGGACAGAGAGGTTTGTGTCCCGCCGCCTTTGCTTGGCGACGGACTATGCTGCTTTGAAATTTCAGGAGGTGGAGGCGTTGACGGATGTGAAGACTTAGAGATTTTTGGGGGTGGAGGTGCATTAACTATTTCGACTGAAATGAAATAAACAGCAGTATTAACTGATATTAACTATCGTATGCTCATCATAGTAAATGCTTATGTACCTATGCAAAGTATACATTATTATTCGCTTTGATCCCTTCCAAATTATTTAATCTTGTAACTTGAAATCGATAAATACGTGTCTGCGCAGACGAAACACGACATTACTATCGAAACACGATGGGAAACGACAAAGTTTGATGAAAAGTACTTTAGCTTATCTAAAACCGCTCGTAAGTAATTACGAGGTTTTTTAGACGGTGCGCGCATAGTTAATACCTCTACTAAAACATGCGACATTGAGAAAAGCAACCGAGCCAACGTACTCGTCTAGTTTAAAAATAATGAATCAGATAATAACCATCGCTATCATAATCCTTGCGCTCTTTTCTTCTATGCTTTTTGTGATGTCTGTGCTTTTCCGATTTCTCACGTTCAGGCGTATAGCTTCGTGAACGGCTACGATGACGCTTCTTCTTAGCGTCCCGACTTTTCTCGGTTTTGTGCCGTTTATTCGAACCCATTGTCAATTCTTTCAGTTACGCATCAACCGTACGATACACCGTTTTCTTCAGTATCTTCTTTCTAAAAAAAAAAAACGTAAAACTTATTCGCCACTGATCTGTCGATTTTCGCTATCGTACACCACTTTTTCTGATGCGCACTTCAAATGATACTACTGTGCGAAGTAGCGACGTACAAATGTTACCAGTTTTACCAACTGAGAAATGCGTATCTGCCTTACGAATTTGTTCTATTATTCGAATTTTTAAGTTTTGTGAAATTCCAATGTTGTATTTTATATCGATAGGTTAGAAAATACATGAATTCTGTAAAGAGTGATTTTTGACAGAGATAAAAAAAAAAAAAATACATGTACAAAAATATTTATTGAGGTTAATTTAAACAATTTAAGAAATAGAAATGCTTAGGTTTTAATTTCATTAAACGGAATGAGCGAGTATAATGATTATAGAAAACGTTTGCGATATTTATTACAGAATTTACATACGTAATTGATTAACGAGTCACATCATTCGCACATTTCGCGCCAGAAATATTAAAACGGATTTGCGACTGCACTCGAACCGTGTCAAGGCGCATACGGAACAAATATTGACTTGCAAGATAAACTAGTAATTTCAATCTCTTCACGATGGTCACTCCGATGATTGTAACGCAATCTAACCTTGATATTCTGACGTTTAGAAATTTGACTGCGGTGTTACCATAAAAATGTAATGCGCTGTAAATAATTGATCCTCTTCGTTCTCCTCGCATAAGAAAAAATAAATACGTTCCGACGGAATGCGCAATGTGACATTTGGTCTAGATTACTTTTGCAATCATTTATTTTTAGCACAAGTATTTCTTAACAGGCGAAGCTTTCTTCTCGTCAATTGTATTATTTTACAAGTACATAAACACAGGTATAACATCTTGTGATATACTCGTAAATATTTAACCCGACATACTATGCAATCAAAATCACAAATAGAATAATACGATCGTTGAATTTTATGTAAATTTTCCCACATGCTTTTTGAGATTATGCACATGACAAATAATTTATTGTGTACTTTAAAAAATCAATAACTGATTTAAATATTTGTAAGTCAGAGAAATTTATAATGATCTCTTTTACTTCTTTAATTTTTAGGCCATGTTGTATATTTTAATTGTATGGAGTTTTGTAAATATAAAATTTGTTATGCCTTTAAAATTTAACGATGACGTATTGTTTTTGTAAGAATTATTCAGTTCGAAATTTATAAATGTGTATTATATAGGTGTTGTAATGTGTATTATGTAGGTGTATTATATATGTTTTTCTTGTGATATACTGTATAACAATTTTTAAGAGGATCTTTCTGTAGCAGAATTTAATGTAATGTTTTATATTTTCCAGGTAGTATTAAAATTACCAATAGTCATACATATATAATGATTGCAGAAATAGGCACGGAAGGCTTTCAGCCAATGACAAGTTTTAGTGAGAAAAGTCTATTTAAATTACAATGTTTGATCAAAGCAACAGAGATACAACACAGTACACAGTGTGAATATGGAAAGAGATTGTTCCTAGCGCTTGTGACAGGAAATGCTGAAATTTTTTTATATTATAAGAAAGACTCAGTATCTACTGCAGTGATTAAAAGAATACCTTGGTTCCAAGGGTCTCACAAGCAAATCTCAGCCTTATGTTTTAACTTTATGGGATCATGGTTGCTCTGCACAAGTGTTGATGGATCTGTATATATAATCCCTGCTCTGTACTTTGTAGATGAAAATTGTGAAAAGGATAGAAGATGGACTAGTGATGATATAACTTCATTTCCTCCTATTAGTTCGCAATCATCTCATTCAAAGTGCATATCATAATTAGACTTTTAATGGAACATAATCATAATTTAATGTTTCACACATTATATTTTCATAATTTAAAATTTTTAGGCCTACTGCAATTGTATGGTGGCAAAGTACGATAATACCTGCTGAGATTGGTATTATTGGGACTGAGTATGGAGAGATTATATTTATAAATCTTGAAACTGGCCACCAAACGAATGTTACACAAATCAAGGGCAATATCGCCAGTCTGCATATTTGTCGTGATCAAAGTAATGACATTGTGTCTCTTCTGATAACAAATCAATCTAGAAGACAGTGGAGATTACTTTTGGAACAGCGTACATACAGTTGTTTGCAGCACTTAGAGAATGGAGAATCATACAATGCGTTGCATACAAATGACATGTATGATAATACTAGAATATTTGCTTCTACTAGATCCAGATTGCAAGGACTTAAGCAATTGTCTGTGGACAAACTTGCAATTCTTAGACAAAAATTAATAGAAACGAAAAGTCAGACATTAGGAGAAAATTTACAATATCATGGTTTGTATATGCATATACATAATTCCATAATAAAAATTGTAAAATTTTATAGATCATTAATTAGATCCTTTTATTAACTTTACAGACATTACAAGTAATCGAAATATTCAAAATACAAGTATTAATTCTGATTCTTCTACAGAAGTAAATCAGAATCAAATAACACCAGAAGCAATGTCAAAAGAGGTATTTCTGATGTCTCAGTTAGATAGGGATGGACAACAATTGTATACATGTTATCATTCTATTACAAATCAAATATTGGTATAGAAATATTTTATTAATTTTTAATTATCTGATAACAAATATGACATATAAACGATTTTGAAATTACAGGTATATGGACCTAATTTTACTACTGTACCTTTATCAGCACATAAAGTATTTGAATCATGTAAAAATGTTTTATTAACGCAACGATTTTTTTTCATTACTGACGTCAGTCAACGTGTGATGTACGTAATATCGGACAGATTATCCGAAACTCGTAAGAATGATAATGGTAAATTCAATCCAGAGTGCATTGTTGGTCACTTTTCTTTAGTGAATAGCAAAGAAGTTATACGCGCTGTATACAGAACCATTGATTGTACGAATAGTGCACCAACAACACATTCTGAAGAAATTAGAAACAAATACACGTTACCAAAGGCAGTAAAAGATATTAAAATTGAATTACCTCATGTGGATACTTGTATAATTGTAACAAATCATTCTGTATATAAAATTGTTTTAAGGTCAGTGTTATATTTTTATCACATCTTATCAATTTTATGAAAATTTGCAATAAATGTATCGTTTCGTTTGCAGAAAATCAATATTATCAATTTTTATGGAATTAGTTTTAAAAAATAATGATCTTGAGAAAGCGACAAAATTGGCTATAGTATTCGGCATTAATGCACAACAATTATTAGAGCAAGCTGGTGATATACTTTTGACTAACAAAGAATTTCCACGTGCTGTGACTTGCTATAAATTGTCAAAAGTAAGTAGAGGTAAAGAAGATGTTAACATTGTTTTCTTATTTAAATTTATGTATAATTTTTATGATTACTCTTTTTTCAGTGTAGAATAATGAAGAGTATGTTAAAATTTGCGTCTGTTGGTTATACAGCTGATTTATTACGTTGTCTCACACATTGTTTAGCATCTCCTGCTATTAGTGAACTGCCTGTAGCACCAAGGATACATCTTTCTAACTTATGTGTTCTCGCTTTTATCGAACGGACACTTAGAATTTCATCTCAAAAATCCAAGGCTATATATAAAGAATTTTTGTAAGAATCTAGATAAACTTGTTCAGATATGATTTATAAAAAATTTTTGTGGAGAAAATATTTGATAAAAGTTATTTGAATTTTAGGTATTTCTTATCTACAAATTCTTTTTACGATGAATTGTTAGCAGTTAATATCGCTGGACAGACGTGTCTTTGGGAAGTGTTGCACCATTTAGCAACACAGAAGGGTCTTTATGGACAAATGCTAGATATTCTTATGAGGACAATACATACTTTCAGCTTAAGCAATTTTCAACCAACACCATGTAATGCATAACAATAATTATAACATGGTTTGAAGCTGAAATATTTATAAAACGCTTATTTTATTTCAGATGGTTTGTTGATATGTATCAGTGAACCAAGTCTAATGCAAGCAATGTTAGTGTATCCTGAGTTAGCTAGAAGTCATATGTCATTTATTCTTGATAATCTTCAAGACTCCCAAATTTTTGTACTTCAAGTAAGATTTAGGTTGCATTTATAATATAGTAATAGAAGCAACTTAATATTTTTATATTATACTATTTTAATACTATTTTATATTATATTAAATATCTTTTAGAGATTAGTAACATTATACGATCCAACGAATCCAGTGATAAGACCTAGAGTAGTGCGATGCCGGTTACGCAATAGAACAACTTCGCATAGTTCTCAATCTAGTCAATGTGATTCTATAGATCTCATGGAAAATGTATGTATTATTGATTTACTAATTAATAGTTAGTTTATTTATTCATATAATTGACATGTATTTTTATTTCTTATGTAGGATGAGGCTGATACACTGATAGAAGAAATCATAGAAACTTTTTTACTAATTTTACTGACTTTGATTTATAAAAGATCTATTTTACATCAAGAATCTATTACATGTAACATTGAATTATTAGAGCTTAAAAAGGTAACTATTATACAAATTGCTTATCATTTCGTATTAATTGATAATCATGTGTTTATATAATTTAAACTAGAATCATAAGTACACCAATTTTGATGCTGATTTTAAAAGAAGGCCGTTATGCGCTGGATTCTCTCATGTTGCTCTTATTAGGAATGGAAATGTTTATACATGGGGAAGTTCTGTGCAAGGCTGTTTAGGTGAATATATATAATTAAAAATGTATATCTTTATATTTTTTTATTATTAAAAATGTATATCTTTATATTTTTTTATTATTAAAAATGTATATCTTTATATTTAAATTAATTATTAGGAACTGGTCCATCCGTGTTGAGGTATGGTTCACCTCAAGCTATAACTTTTTTTTTGATCATGGAGGTTGAAGTTCTCAGCGTATCTTGTGGTCACTGTCATACTTTGGCGGTAACTAATAATGGCGTTTATGCATGGGGATCAAGTCAATTCGGTCAATTGGGTCTAGGGAAAATTCTACAGTGTCCAACTCCTGAATTAATTACTTCTTTAGCTCAAGAAGTCATTATTGATGCAGTAGCTGGACAGTATCATTCAGTAGCATTGACTACGGACGGCAGAGTTTTTACATGGGGCTGGGGTGTTCATGGTCAATTGGGTCATGGTAATACGGACAAAAAAATGACTCCTACCTTAGTTACGTCTCTACTTGGTACAGTTATACGTTACATTAGTGCTGGCCATGCACATACATTAGCTCTTTCAACAGAGGGTGTTGTGTATGCGTTTGGTTGTAATATTTTTGGGCAATTAGGTGTGGGCAGTAATGTTAAGAGTTCGGTGCCAATGAAAGTTTCATTATCAGAAAGAATATCTCTTATTGCCACTGGATATTTCCATAATGTAAGTAAAAAAAATTTATTGGATCATGGATATACTTATTATATTAAGTAAATAAGAAAGTATTACATATATTTGCTAATAACATTATTTTTTGTTAGCTTGCCGTTAGTTATACAAATAAATTGTACATATGGGGAGCTAGTCCTCAAGTTCTTCGATTGCAAGCACAAAGTCAAAAGCGAACTCGAATATTGGAACAACGAGACTTGAAACAGTTTGATAATATTGATGAGTTTGAAAAAGTCACGGATTCCACAAACATAAATAATGACATTAACGAAGAAGTCTTAGAAAGTAATGCACAAAATAAGAATGCACAAGCAAGAGCGTGCGGTATCAGTACAGAATCGCGAAAAAAATTGGATAATATGTGTTTAAAAAATGTAAATGTTGGGTCATTGGAAGAAGCTCAAACGCATTTGAAACCAACCATCATAGATACGAGTTTAGTCAAAGGGGATATCATACAGGTCAGTTAAAGCATTCTTTTAAACAAGATTCCCATTTTATCACGGTTCATTGATTTTGGTATTTTTTATTTTAACATTTTTTCTGCCCTTAAATTTTATAATATATTTGCCACTTATGATAGATATCAACTGGTTGCCACCATAATGCACTCATAACGAAGGATGGATCGCTTTATACGTGGGGTAGGAACTTGGATGGTCAGATAGGCAATGGTAGCAGACGAGAAGTGCTGATTCCTACGCCATTGTGTTATAATCCTGCTTCAATCTTTGCACAAGTACCTCCAAGGCATAATGCTTACAAACGAGTCGAAGAGGAACAAGAATTAAGTGGTGATGTAAAGAATTCTTCGGTGAGCGAGAGAAATGGAAATGTTCATGATGAAAGTAGATTAATCCAGTCAGAAAGCGAATTGAAGGAAAAAATAAATCCTATAATAAAAACTGTTGGAGTTTGCTGCGGATATGATTATACGATTGCGATTCAACCAGGTATTTAATTATATAATATATTGTGTTATCAAATGTTAACAAAAGCTTCAAGAAGACAAGTTTTATGTTTATAATACAAACTTTAACTTCATTATCCTATTATGCTTCTAAGATTTTTGTATTAGTTCCAAGACAAAATGATTGTTGAATAGTCTGCCAGTGACAGAGTTTTCATTTTTTGCTGTATTTTTTCAGGTGGTACAATTTTAGCTTGGGGTAATAATAGTAGAGCACAATTAGGCCGGCTTCCTACAAAAGATACACGTGACACCGACGATAAGCTTGTGTTGATTAAAAAGCGAATTGTACGGCTCCCTCACGCATCGCATGTAGCTTTGGACATGCCTAGTCAAGTTCCTAATATTCCCGCTCCTATTATTTCTTATCAAAGTTACGATGTACTCTCTTTAGCGGGTGTTGTTCGTCCTTTAAGCCTTATCGAAAAATCACCAGGAGAATTGACGTTAAATCATGCATTAGAATATTTCTGTGGTTTATATGATTCATCGAGAATTATTGAAAAGGTTGGTTCTTTTATTATTCTCAAAAGGATTAATTTAGAATTAGTTAAATGTATATTTTTATAGTAATATCAATATTTCGTATAATTAATAACTTTATATCCATGTTTTTAGTGTATTGAGTTGGGAAACTATCAAGCTTGCTCAAAAATAGCTATGTTGCAACATAATATTTCTGATGCGTTTTTGTATCAGTTAAAGATTTTACATGTACTGAGTCTTCAATCTTGCTCAAAAGTGAAGTCTGAAAATTGCGAAAAGACAGATGGGAAGTCTATGGATGAATCTCATTTAAAGAAGTCTTCATCAACACGTCATGTCAGAAAAAACACTGAACTTTTTAATAAACAGGTAGAGGAGAATCTGATCGATTCTGTCAACGATTGCGCCGTCAAAAACAAAATGAAAATTCCTGCGAGCAAATCGCTGAATAGTTTACATACACTTCAACAAGAATTGTACACGTTCGATTGTCAAGGTGGCTTAGAAGAAATGTGTAAAGATGTTAAATCAGAAAACGCACCAATGGGAATATTTGAGGCCAGTTTTGATTCTGACAGTAGTTCTGATTCAGAAGAATGGATGGAAAATCTTATTTTCAAAGAAAACCAATTACGAAAGCAAGAGAAAGTAGAAATATCCACTAAAGATAGTTCAGGAGCTTCTACTCCCATGAAGAATGTTGTAGATCAGTTATTTAAAGGCAACGGAGCATTTCCTGAAAAGAAAATTACGCGATCTCGGAATAATATAACTAATGAAGCTATAAAAGTAATCAAGTTTTTCTTGAATGAAATGGAAAACGAAGTGGATACTATCAAGTCTAAAATATTACAAGATGCGCTTGAATTCTGGATTGAACACGATTTACCAATGCAAAGTATAGAAAATATATTTTTGGAGCACATCCAATCGATTTTTTATCCCCTTGGATTATTATTATTCTGGTAAATTTATATTTATTTGTCTAATATATTTATTTATATCTTTTTATATAATCATAACTATAAATATTTTTGTAGTCAAGAAATCATGGATAAATATTTAGACATAAATAAAAATAATACCGAAACCAGAAACTTCATTGCAATTAACTATTTTTCTATTAAGTTTTGTCTTCAAGTGTGTTCGATGTTATTACATCATATTGATCAAGGTAAATAATCTGAAGTTTTAAATTCTCATATAAAATAAAAATTATATTAAATTATTAAATATTCTTTTTAGGCCAACCTACTCTTGAATTCATTAAGCTGTTATCTTCTTTAACAGCTGATCAATTTGGACCACCGTTGACTGGATATCCAGGTTCAAGTGGAAATAATACTTCAAAAGAAATGATGGAAGGAGTTATAAGCACTGTGTCTTCTAATATTCATGACTCCAAAGCGTTTGTACATATTAAGGTAAATTATGTATTTATAATAGATTCATTTCATCAACTGAAATATTTTTTAAATCAATAGTTGTTATTATAAACATTTATTATTCCGGAATTAGGATCCGGATGCAGTATACCGATTTCTCGAAACTGAAGAAGACACAATGATATTCACATGTGGACATCATTTTCCATTAGCCTCATATAAAACTGAAGTAATCCCAATGATGGAAACCGAGTTACTAACATCTGAATCATTAGTTCTTCCATGTACAGCTCAATACTTAGGAAAAATGTTATCTGAGACTACTAAGCCGGAAATATTGTGCCCTTTGTGTATACCAAGAGCTCTGGAAACGTTGGTGAAGAAGCACGATGGGTGAGAAGTATGTACCTGAGATTTTATTTTAACAAAAAAGAACAAAAAGATAGAAAAAAAGTTATATACAATTTTTTCTTAAGATCTTAAAAAACCTCTAAAATTATACACATAAAATGAATTTTTTAATTAATTTTAATGAATTACAATACTAAAGCAACACTGAAAGATAATTAGTATAAATTAAAATAACGAAATAGATTTAAATCTACGTTACATACAACACTTGTTGTATTCAATAAGCATTATAAAGAACTATAAAAGATTAAAGCTCTCTATATCTTTGAAACCATATTTTTTAGATTATCTATACTTATAGGTATTCTACATAGATAATATTGTTATAATGCACTATATCTTTCATTACTTAAGAACATCTTGTCTTGTCCAATATCAGGAGAATTATTTCACTACGCACATATTCACTAAAATTAACTATTCTGTGTTCATGAATTCAAGTGATATTTCAAGTACATTACCAAAATGTATTGTGAATTAACAAGAAGTAATATTATAGTACAGAAATAACATTGATATTTTAAGTATGCATATTTAAATTTATAAATTTTGTGAAATTAAAATAGATATAATGAAATATTCATTTTGAGTTAATATTCAATATGTCAGCATTATATTTTTAAAAAACGTTGAAGATTCATACGATACAACGATATAACACGAAATGACAAACTATGAATGGTTTTTTGTCTTCGTTTCGGAGTGATTTTATATTAAATTATAGAAATTTTAGAATTAATACTTTGCAAACATTATTGTTTATGAAATAATTATATTATTAATGAATTTTTATTTATATCGGTTGATATATTCCTTCTATCAGATGTTATATTTTGTTTATATATATATATATTTGTATATATAATTTTAAAAATTTTATTTGAGAAATTTATTTTAATTGCTTATCATGATTTTTTGTATTTTATTTTAATTTTAATTTTTAATTTAACAAAAAAATTAAGTTATTGGATTGTAAAAAAAAAACATATAATGTAAAGAAAAATATATAAACGGCTATAAAAAAAATATGTTATTAGTATATGAAATTTATTAACACTTTCGTGATCAGTGACATAATACTACACATCTTTTTAGTTTTATGATTTTACTACAATTCAAAGGACACCCTTGTTTAAATTTTAATGGGAAAGAAAAGAGATAGACATATAACAGCATTGAATGAGAAATGAATTAGTGTTTATAATATTAATATGCACGAAAGTGTTAATATATTTATTAATCAAATATTTGTTACTGTGAAGTTACAATATACAATTGTACAGTAGTTATAGTGACATTATATAATATAGTATAAAGAAAAAAAAGGAACAAGATTAAGAAGTGGACATAACTATTATCTGTGCAATCTTATGAAATTGATGCAAAGTGCTAAGGACTGATAAAAAAATGTATTGATCTAGTCTCCAAAGTATATATCAGAATATATTAGTTAATCCTAGAGATTGAAAAAAATATCTTATTAATAAAAAAGATATATATTATGTGATTCTTTGTGAACTTGTAACTGATGTTAATTAGATGATCAATGTATCAATATGGTGGATATGTAGAGTTGAACTTGTACATAGAACATTGTTCACAAAGAAACTTTTGGTTACAAGTGGAGTAAGTTCATAAACATATTTTGTTGTATTTTTAATGTAAAATTGCATGAGAGTGAAAAATAATACAGGGATGATGTATTTGTGATTGTCAGAGAACTTCTGTATTATGATTTTAATAACTAATGCACATGAAGGTTTTAGAAATTAATCAATATAAATCATGGAATAATTATTGTTAGAATTCTTTTTATAATACCATCGTTTAGCTTATAAAAATATTTTTTTTTAAATCACACATTCTATTATTTTCATTCGTGTGATATTGTTGAAATTGTTACTTTTATATTTTTTTATAGAACATATAAAATTGTCAATACGGAATCATTTAAGAAAATGTAATATTTTAACTAAAAATAACATTGAATAACATCTAAATCCTTCTGTTGTAAAATCCACGCATTTGACACGTCTGATATTCTTCTCTATTAATCATTTATTTTAAATTGCATATTTAATAACATATTTCAATATATATAATATATAGTGTATATTATGTTCTTGACGTATAAGAAAAGTCTTCAACTTATTTCTTGCTTAACATACGGGTATAATGTTATTAAAGTAATGATCAAGAAATTTAAGCAAATTTTTTAAAGATAATCTATGTTAGTCTAATCTATACAAAGATTATGATTTTTTTCATGTAACTCAAATTATTCTTCATTATAGTAATCAGACTGATAAATAATTTGTTTAAATTTCATTTCAAAATTTCGATTAAGATATTTTAAATTCTTTATATAAAATCATTCTTAAATTTTTAATTGTATATGTATATGACTGCAATAATCTTGTAACATTTATCGGAATGTACAATTTTGAATGTCTTATAAAGTCTTTCACCAATAGTATTTAGACAATTAAAATATTGAATTAATAAAGAATTGATAGTATGACTTTTTTTCTTTTATTTAAAATAAAATTTATTTAAATATTTTAGAAAACTCTAATATCACTGTTTGATTATCTTTCAGATAACGAATAACTTAAAAAGAATATGTGAAAATTGATCATTTCTTAAATCTTTTATTCAAAAAAAATATTGAAAATACATATTTTTCTTCTGTCATAAATGCTGAATTGCATACTATTATTCTCACATACGATCTCTCACAAAAAATCTATACTAAGCAGTCATAAAAATATTTCTTTACAATAAAAACACGATATTAAAAAGGAAGAGTATTTGTTTGAAATAAAACATCACATTGAATGTTTCAATGAGTATAACAATTGCGACCGACGTTCAAGTAAAAATCGTCGTAATACTATGTTCAGATTTTAATATAATAAAACATTTTAACAGCTTTTTAATGTTTTAATTTCAATAACTGAAAGTTTAAATTGAACACGATTTCTGTTCAAATTGAGACTAAATTTTTAATCCTAGACTCCCTACAATCTTTATAAATCCTTTCAATAAAAAAATATAATTCAACTTTACTACGATATTAGGAACCAAATGATTCAATTAAAGCTTATCCACGTTACAAGCAAGAAGTTCAAGCTCTTCACGAATATCTGTAGGTAAATCATCGCCTACTTGCATATCGAAATATTCCCTAAGATGCCTAACTTCTTTCTCCCAGAAAGATTTCGGTAAACTGAACAATTCCTCCATATTTACGTCCTTGCTCAAGTTCTCCAAATTGAATGACTCTGACTTTGGTAACAGACCTACTGTAGAATCTACTGCGATATTCTCACCGTCAATTTTTCGAAGAATCCAATCCAAAACGCGAGAATTGTCGCCGAATCCTGGCCATAGATATTGGCCATCCGCATTCTTCCTGAACCAGTTCACATGAAATATAGCTGGAAGCTTAGCATTCTTCACTTTGGTCATACTCAACCAATGATTGAGATAGTGTCCGAAATTGTAGCCAAAGAAAGGTCTCATAGCGAACGGATCGTGCATGATTACCTTGTCCTAATTGTTAATTGTTAAACAAATTAATTTCCAAAAATAGAATTGAAGTACTGAAGCATGATGAAGAGAATTTTTTATGAACACAATTGAATGATGAAACCTAAGCAGAGATTTCATTTATCAGTACTGTAGTTTAGATATTTTTTATTTCTGCATATTGTATGCATTTTGTGCGTTTCGATATCTTTAAATTTCTTATAAATAAAATTCATAGTATATATAAATCACTGTAGATGACTCAGGCACTGAATTTTCAGCCACTAAGGACTGCATGACTCAACATCTGGGTCACTAGTCTCCAATAAATTAATAAAATAATTAGAAAATAATTAATGCTTCTTTGATTAGTCTGTTAAATGATTGTTCTTTGAATTATTACATACCGTGTGTTCTGCTGCAGCGGTAGCTTCAGATCTCATAGAAGCTCCAATAAAGACACCGTGTTGCCAATTTCTAGCTTGATATACAAGAGGGATGCCTTCTGGTCTTCGTCCTCCAAAAATAATAACGTCAATGGGAACACCAGCTGGATCTTCCCAACCAGGATCGATAACAGGACATTCTTTAATTGGAGTACAGAATCTGGAATTCGGATGTGCTGCTGGTGTCTTGGATCCTCTGGTCCACTTCTTGCCTCGCCAATCGGTGATCTATAAAAATATGATTAGAAAATGCAATTATTGCAATTAATGCAATCCCTATAAATACAGGAACATCCGCAGTTAATAATAATAGCGATAATGAAGTCCTACTTCAACATCATCACTGATTTCTTCCTCCATTCCCTCCCAGAAGACTCCACCATCGCTGGTAGCAGCCACGTTGGTGAAAATAGTATTCTTAAAGATAGTCTTCATGGCATTGGGATTGGTGATACAATTGGTTCCGGGAGCTACGCCGAAGAAACCATTTTCTGGGTTTATGGCACGAAGTCTGCCCTCTTGATCGAATCTCATCCAAGCGATATCATCTCCTACACACTCGATCTTGTACCCTGGTAACGTTGGTTTCAGCATGGCTAGGTTTGTCTTGCCGCATGCACTGGGGAATGCTGCAGTAATGTAACGCTTTCTACCTTTTGGATCTGTGATAGCCAGTATCTACAAAAGGTAACTGATACAGAATCTTTTAAGCGACTGATGCGTTTCCAAATGCCAAGTAATGATTGAAAATAGAATTGAAAGAGAAAATAATAGTGAAATTTTCATTGCTTTGATATCTTCCACTAACATAAAATGATAAATAATAAAACTTAAATAACTTAATAACTTAAAATAGTTGCCTTTAATCTATATGTAGTATAGCAAAGTAAATTTTAGAATTTTAAATTTTATTATTTAAGACAGTTACTTTCAATTTATGTATATTAATAGTAAAACTTGATATTCTGAAATATCTATAAAAGTAAATTTTGATATTTAACACGATCATCTTTAAAATCAAATTTCTTTTTTTCTTAATTTACATAAAATTATGTAATGTTATACATACAAGCATATGCTCCGCAAGCCATCCTTCATTCTTAGCAATAGTTGAGCCTATTCTTAGGGCGAAACACTTTTTTCCAAGCAAAGAATTTCCGCCGTAACCACTGCCGTAAGAAACTATCTCATTTTTGTCTGGTCTATGAAGGATGATGGTCCTTTCAGGATCACAGGGCCAGGAAGAATTAATCTCAACCTTTGAGTCGCTTTTTGGAACACCGACAGAATGCAGACATTTGACAAAATCGTCATTGCCAAGCGTTTCTAAGATATTTTTTCCTATCCTTGTCATTATTCTCATACAACAAACAACATATGCGGAGTCTGTGATCTCTATTCCAATTTTTGAGAAAGGTGAACCCACTGGACCCATGCTAAAGGGAATGACGTACATTGTTCGATCTGAATTATAAAAATGGAATAATCAGTTTGTTTTATTTGTTAAATTGACATATTGGAGATCAGTATTATTTTATGACTCGATTATCAATTGATCATTGATCAATTCTTGGATTGCAATTAAAAAAAAAGAAAAATGAATGTGTAGAAAAATGAATTTTAAAATAGAAATAGTCTCGGATATGTTGAACAATTAAATGTTTTTTTTTTTAAGGAAGTTACCTTTCATACATCCTGGGAAACGTTCAAGAATGGCTTTGTCCATGTCTCCCGGAGAAATCCAGTTACCCAGTTCTCCAATAACACCTTCGCGCGGTATAGGAATAGTATCGCGTTTGCATTCGGTGCTGATAAACGTGCGTTTCTCGACACGTGCTACGTCTGCCGGGTTTGTTCTAGCAAGCCAACTAAAAGTAAAATTTTTACATGTTAAAATCATAACTATCGTTTGAAACATTTGTATTATTCCAATGTTCTTCTATTTGTACTATTTGTATTTTAAACTGCTTTGAAGTTTTTATTGAATTTACAAAAGATGTTTATATCTGTATGTTCAAAATCTTACAAAACACACATTATTAAGACAATGTTGGCAAAAGACCAAAGAACGAATACTCAAAATATCTAGAAGGTTATTTATTCAAGGAACTTTCTGAAATCAATTATGTGAATGAAGTAAATGTTCACCAATTTTCATATTTTGGTAAAGGCGATATGGTCCCATTCTTTTCCAGAAAATTCAATAGATGCTCGTATTCTGTATCGCTTCCATCGCAAATATAAATATCCTTTGGACAGCAAAGGGATGCGCATTCTTCGATATATGAACAAACTTTTGAAGGAAGAGATTCTGTCGAACTATTCAACAAAGGTATCTTTCTTATATATTCGTAATTGTTGTTGGTAGATAGATTTTTCGCCACGTTGGAGACCAATGTGGACACTCTGAAAATAAAATGAAATTTATTTAAATATTTTTAAAGTATTTATTCAACATTTTATATTTTAATGCATTTTATATTTAAATTTGAATTCCTTTTTTCGCCAATTATTTTGTGAGGTATTCTAATATTTTTATGCTTTTAAAATCTCTTATGTACTTTATATTAAAATATTTTACTCTCTTTTAATTATTTTATATTTAACGCATGAAGCATTAGCTTTTAATTAGAATAACAGGTGGTTCTATAAAGTGTCTACTAAAAGCATGTCGACAAATTAACTGTTGCTACATCAGTAAAGAAAAATAAATTTTCACATTGCTATTTCGTAAAGTAACTGCCTGATAGTTGCCCATTTATTTTATACTGATGATGTTGAAAATCATTTTGCGACTTTCTGCATACCTTACACTATCCATTAAAATATACATTTTCCTTTTACCGGCAAACCTGTTGCTTTTATAAGTACATGCTGCTATTACATTTAAAAACTTTTCATGCTTGGACGAACATAGTTTAAAATAGATAGACATTGTGGTGTACTTTTTCGTTAAAAGAAAAGTAAAAGTTTGAGAAGTATTACTTTCATTTGTCTAGAGGAAAAAACGGTGCAGAAATTTAATTAATAGAATTAAAAATTAAAATATATCAAAATAATAAAAAATGAATAAGTTGTAATGTATAAGAACTACATTGATCTTCGGAGTCATAAATCAGCAATTAATCTATTTTGTGTTGTCTTCGCTGGTATTGTTAGCTAAGCTATTTCGTTAACATTATAGCGATACTAAATTATATTTAGAAAATTTATTTTGCAGACGATAAAAAGAAATGTTTGAATATCGAAATTAATTGTAAACAAACAAACTGCGCAACGAAGATTCTGTTGCATTAGATATTACGATAACATTATGCAACAACAGTCAAATGAAATCAACTGAATAGTTTCTCTGCTAAAGTTTCATATCTATTTCTTTATTGTTTGAATTATTTTATGCAAAAATTATTTTATCCGAAATGTCTAAATTGATTCCGCTTTGAAAAATAAAAAAAATCTTCTACAAATCTTACATAATACAGAGTGAAATTTTGTGCATTATTATGAAAGAATGCACCTCGTATCTCCTCGCATCGTCGTAACATAGTGAATAACGAGCTACTTACCGCGGGTAGTAGGCATCGATTGCGTGTGGCATCTCGTTTGGAATCGTTCGACGGCTCAAAATCGCGAATCTTGCTATGCTCTGTTTGCCACCGAATACATCGACCGGCGCGAAATATCGAAGATTCGTCGAGTGATCGATCGATGATCCTCTGATGGAGGCTGCAGCTACGGAGAAGTTTCTCGTGATCCGGAAACTGATACTGGCGAGGTTCGACCAGCGTATCGGATCGATTCTCGGCGACATATCCTGGGTCGCTCGCTTTTATAACGATCGATAAGGGATTTCGCGCGGGCCCTAGCGATTTGTCACGCGGATTGGCCACACGAGCACTTCCGGTGAACAAAGTGGGAGCTCGATGCAAAACGTCCGTGGAATCGGCGCTGGACTTTCGGGTTTCAGTTGGCGGTCGACACGGTTCTTGGCTTTGCCAATGTTCTGTTGTAATAGAACTACGTTTCAGTCTCAAAACATTTCGTTAATTACCAATGGATAAGAAATGAAAGCAGCGAGGTATACGTGCGTTGATATAATTTCTCAATTAATTTTAACTGTAAAATAATCTTGTACATTCTGTTTAGGTGAAACTGAAATTTTTACCACTGCGCAACGTCCAATTCGCTTATGATCTTCGACACTTGGCTTCTTTGGAAGATACACGCCGAAGAGATTCTAGAAGAACCGCAGTTCTGAAGGTGAATATTAGTGAAAAGAAAATTATTATTTCAAGAAGAGAATGATTTAAAGTCGATTGCCATGTACCTAATACCTAGCAAATGCGAGCTGTGAATCTATCACGGCGGATAGTTTGGAACCAGTGATAATGATCGACCACGCTTGAAACTAATTTAAGAAGAATTAAGAATATAACGCACGATCTCACAGTTTCAGATGGACTGTACCTGGGCACAAAATGTCGGTCGAAGTAAAAGCAATCGCGACCCACGCGTCGTATTAAAACGAAATCGGTTTGCAACAGCCGAGCCGTTTTATATTGAAACTGTTACCCGCCACTTGCTCTTCTATTTTTGCGCCATTACTTTCGCTTTCCGCTATCTAGTGGTGTACGCGACGCGCACTGACAGACCGGCAACCAACATGCTCTCTCGCGTTTAATTATCTCTTGCCGAGATTAAATACCACGTTCCATCGTGGCGCACGGGCATCGAATTTTGTTTATACCTAATGTCAGCGTTGTAAATTTGAAGTATTAAAGTGGCGACAGAGGTATTGATGCAGTTACGCTCCGACTGGGCGTTTTGTTGGAATATTTCATGTGCTTACGCTCACTGGAAAAGTTATTCATGAAATGATGTAATTAGAATTCTTATCAATCTTTTCGGGGTCGATGTTGTTTATATACACTTTTGTGTTGTATACACTGTGTTGTATACACTTTCAAAAGTTTGGAACATGTTAGATTTCAGAAGAAATAACGATTTCTACAATTAGTTATATTTACAGGTCAAAACTATAATTATTAGTATTATCGATAGTATCTCTATGTTAGCTTTATCTGTATGTTTAATTGAAGAGTAGTTCTTAAAACGATTCTTAGAAGTTTCTTAGAGTTCGTATAAGCTATATTACTAATGTATAAAATTTAATGGCTAATTTTAACGAGCATTAACGAGTTCTTAAGTACCTAACGATAAGTTAAGATTAGTCTCGTGAGATCGTTATCGATGATCTTGAGAAAGATCGATCAACATCTCACTTGTTGACTAATAGATTGTATATGAGTGATTTTCCACTTTTGATTTGTTCATTAAATGTATGTTATTACACAAATATTTAGAAAAAGAATTGAAGATAAAGATTATTTGATATTTTGGACAAGTCTGGAATTATTTGAATCATGCTCGATTAAACAAATTGAGATTTTACAGAGTAATAATATTTGACAAGTTGAACGATTAAAAACTCATTCTGATTATTATAAGACTGCGAATTTTCATGTAATTTCATAATTAATATAAATTTCAATAAGAAACAACGTGCCAAGAGATTTATGTAGATAGATCGATGTATTTTCTATTTCGTAAAGATCAATAAACTGTAACAATTATTCAATCCGATAATCGATTAGAATAACTCGTCTCGGAGAACAATTAAATTGCTTATAAATGAACATTGGATCGATGCGGATCGTAAGGCTCGTATCCAATCGATAAGACAGTATGTAGTTCAAAGTATAAGCAGCGAAAAATTGTCAGAATTGCTGTCCTGAATGAATTAATTCGAAGATAATGAGAAGTAAAAAAGTTTCTCTAGAATCTTTTTTGAAATATCCAATTCATTCCAATTAAATAGTATTTATCAAAAAATTGTATTCTATTAGTGATGTTAGTAATAATATAAAATTCTAAAATAACATAACAGAAAATGTCGAACATTTGCATAAAATGATTCCGTTTAGGAATCTTAACGTCGTTCTTTGTGTATCAACGTCCTTCGCTTGTTATCCGCAAGATAATTGAACAGGATAGGGAACAATGATCAATCGAAGATTGATAGAGTCTGCCTCGTAATAAATATATGATATGTAACTAATTAATTAGATCCTTAGTATGGAACAATAAAAATATAGATGAAACAGCGGGTTAAATAGAACGTAATAAATTTTTTCGCAAATCAATTTTGCGAGACGATCTCACACAAAGCTTTATCTCACGATGCTTTATCACACAAATGATGGGATTCGCGAATTATCGCGGTCAGACAGTGAACTACGGACCAGACGACAGGCAATGAAATGCATTCGACTTACAATGAGATCGAAAAATGAGCTTGATAAATTCATCAACAAAGATTGCAATCGATTGATTACCAGAACTCCTTTTTTAAATACGATACAAATTCACTTTCTGATGAATAAATATTTAATCAAATATTTATGATATCTCTAAGAAAAAAAGCTAGAAACAATAGAAAAATATTTCTAGGGTTCTATAACTAATTGTTGAATGAAAGAATTATTTCAATTTATATGTACTATAAATTTTATATTTTTTACGAAATTGATGCAACGTAGTAGTAGAATTAATATTGATCAGGAAATCGATGAAGCCGTCTCGTCGAACATTCGCGAGGTAAATTTGCGTGGAAAAAGAACGACATGGAAGCGAGATAGTCGAGAGAAAGGGAATTATGTTCACACGTTGCACTTTGATCTAAGCTATTCGTTGCATGCAATTCATACAACATTATTGTTTACAGAAACTTCGTCAATATCGCACTTTGTTTGGGTTTACTTTAATCGGTGCCGTGAACGATTAATTTCCTGGAAAAATCGTTAATTACGGTTAATTTCAGGATATCGGACTTTCCCGTGGTAAGGCTGCACTTAATTATATTTATAACCTGTTTCCTCCGGTACGAGACAATTTCTGATGAATCGATTATTTATTTTTTTTAAATTATAAATATCGTACAATAAAGTGAAGTTGAACACTGTGTGTTGTATCAAACAAAGTGGGTCAGATTGGGCTAAAGTAAAGTATTAAATCAGAGTTAAGGAAGGTTAATTAAATTAAGTGGAATTTTAACAGAATCAAATTAAGTCTAAAGTCAAATTAGATTAGGATTAAGTTGGACTGAATTAAAGTTCATAGTTGAAATTAATTTGAGTTACATCGAATCAGTTGAAATTAGATTGAATTGAGTTATATCAAATAAAGTCAAATTGGACATCATTACATTTACAATAAGCATTACTGACAACTTATTTAGCTAATGCCTCATTTCAAGGTAAGATAATCGCGAGTTTATCAGCATCCAGCATTTTTCTTCACCCCTAAGTAATTAATGATTAATACACTGGTTTGTGCTTGTCTGCGCGATCCAGACGACGCGACAGACTATTAACTCGAAGAATCTCGCAGAACTACCGGCAGTGATAAAAGGATCATGACCGAACGCTTTTTCAGTTGAACAGACATAATAGCTTTTGTATTTCAGAGCCACTCACATTCTCTGCGTGTTATGAATCGAACAAGATCCTGTATTAAAAAGTTATCGATGAGGATATAGCTTCGTAGTAAAAAGAAATGACAAATTTAAGACACATGACACAAATCTACATGTTTATCTGATTTTTTAAAGTTTCGACACCGCGTCGTGAACTTTATCCTTTCTAGTGATTTGTCAATTAATCTACACGCAATTGCGCAAATGATAATTGTGCATAAATAATTACTGAAAGATTCAATTTCATCACATTTATGAACAACAGTTTTGCAATAAAATTCATTATTTTAGGCTCGTCCATCGCTAACAGTTTTAAATAAAAAAGTGAAAAGAATATTCAACCTTTTATTTTCTTATGAATATAATCGAAGACAGAATTAAAATAAAAGTCATCGTGTTTTGGTTAGGGCCATTTCCTCAAAATCGGTCGTGTTTTGCCACCTCATCTTCTTTTTATCTTTCTCTTGTATTTCTCTCGATTTTGATAACTCTGACATGATGTCAATAAACATAAACATGTTTACATAAACATGTACAATACATACAATGTGACACACGTACATATTCGCGGGAAGATTCATGCGTGATCTGACATGTCTGGAGGCTCGACTGTATGACTTATGATATAGTTATCATAATTGATTGCATAACACAGTGGGCACGACCATACGATGTATGCATCAACAAAGATTTCACAAGGCAAGAATATTCCGATTGTAACAATGGAGTGTTTGTCAAAGCTTTACGAAGCATTTCACATTTGTCAAATGTTTTAATTTGACTTAGAATTCTTTAAGATAATATATTAACTTAACTATAATATATACTTTATATATATTAACTATAATATATACTTTATATATATTAACTATAATATATACTTTATATATATTAACTATAATATATACTTTAAGATAAGATACCAATAAAATTATTTGAAATTTTTATCAATAATAATAATTTGAATGAATTTATAATTTATAGTCAAATAACGAGTATTTTTGTCGTAATCATGAGTTAACTTTATCAAGCATTTTTCAAAATCATCAAATATTTTAGCTTGTTTTAAGATTCTTTCTTCAGATTAGTTTTAGAATTTCTTTCTTTAGAAATTGATAAATTTTTTTTACTAATCATGATAATTGTCTTAAATAGATTTATAACTTCTAGGATTTTTCACACACCAAGCATACATATATTTTTTACATTCTTTAATTTATCAATTTCTAAATGGACTCTCTCGCAGACTGCTATTTTAAGACTAGAATTTGTTATCTGATTTTCGTTAAATATACGTCGTATATGTATACTTTAAGAAAGATTATTTTGTGTTTTAACTCAGTTGATTGCGTTACATCTCTAAATTTTCAAAAATTTACAATTATCAAAAACTTTGATACTTTCTACGAAACGAATTTTATAATCAAGGAAGTTTTTTTAGCTGCTTGTTTACATTATTTCTTTCTTTTTATCAAGAAATGAAATATTTTATATTGAACAAGAATCAACATAATATTTTCCGTGAAATGAATTTTACAATGAACAAAATCCTCTAGTGTTTATTTATATTGTAGTACTACTTTCTTTTTATAAATAATTGAAATCTTCTCTGTCATAAGAAAGTGTTTAAATTGGTTTCGTGGAAAGATTTCTAATTGTTCAATTGAAAATTATTTTATGTATTTATGATTATAAAACGGTTAACAAAGAATACAATGTTCTATTATCTATGGTCTTTAACCTCGACATCTTATAATAAAAAAAAAAAGATGTATCGCATATGCTTTATTTACAACTTCTATAATCGCTCAAAACCTCTCGATTCACATTTGCAATTTTTCTATATTGATATAAATCTTCCATGCAATATTTTTTACGTTAAAACTTAAGCATTCAATTCGACAAATAGTAAACTTCTAAGGGAATATTCTAAGGGAAAATTTCTGAAATAAAATTCAAATATTCGCGCCAGCAATTCTAGCCGATAAGAGTCGGCTATATGCATACATTATGCATATAGTATATCTGAAATGCATTAAATGAATATATCTAATTAAATTAACCCTTCTGAGTCCAGCATCTAACTAAAAGTCTATCAAGAAGAACATTATAAAATTTGTTTTGGTTTGTCGTATGATGCGTGCACAGTGCTTTCACCGGTCACTTTGCTTAAGTATAGCATGATGTACTAGATAAATAGCCTCGAAAAAATTAGGAAAATAACCAAATAAAAATTAATTCAAAATCTGATCAATCTCCGAAGATTTCCAAAGTAAAACACATTTCGATCAATGCTAACTTTAGTCGACAGAGTCGCGTACATCACGACATCTAAAGCGACGTAGACGAAGTTCTTCCTCGAAATAGTGCGTTCTTGTACACAGTCGATAGTCTGATTCTATTTCGTGTAGTCTGCGGTACGTATCAGCTGTTCGGTGACAGTTTGCCAGCCGTAAGAGTAGAGTGTCGAGGTTTATTGTTTAGGGAAGCAATATGGCTATCTGGTGATTTGTAACAGTGCGATACGTAGACAAAGGAACAACGCAGTTCTTATGATACTTGGAGACGCGTTGTGCACTCTGTTCTTAGTTTAATTTAAAAGTAAAGGGAACAATAAAGAAATCGGCTAGAGATGTTGGAACTCGAGGTAGTACCCGAAAGATCCCTCGGTTGCGAGCAGTGGGAATTTATTTTAGGCAAGTGACGAAACACACGCGATGTATCGTGTCTACGTCGTATTACGCGTAATTCTACGATGATCGAATTAATTCATGATAATCTGGGAATTGGACACAGGATCCCTGTTACGCTTCTTCCTGACATTCTGATTGATCTTTATTGATGCTGCTGTCATGTCAGCACTTGCACTTTGTTATTTTGTTCTATTTGTAAACACCTCGTTTGACAATCGCGGGTAAACAAAGAAAATGGTGCTCATGCTGAATATTTTGTTGCTTATTATGTAATTGTTTACTCGTATCGTCTTATTATTTGGGCTCTCATTGCCAAATTGTCAATTAATTGACTGGTGATTAATTAGAAATTAATGCTTCAATGAAATATCACGTTATAAATAAATATAAGATTCGTAGTATCATTTTGAATAATTACTTTGTGTAAATGTAATATAAATTTAAAAATGACGTGTGAGGAATATATTTTTCTAAGAAAATTATTGTTACAGGCATGCATTTTTCCCAGTCTGTGTCAATAATACAATCCCAAGTGGGCATTATAAGAGGAGTACAAGTACTTTATAGTGATAGTGTGAGTATATATTTATAAAAATATGTAATTGTTATACTTTTCTTATACTTGTTTATTGTTGAAATTAAATTGTGTTCTGTATTCACAGAATCCTTTAGATGTAGATTTAGTAATAAATTTACCTCATGATGGCGTTCGGCTTATATTTGACCCAGTGGTGCAAAGGCTCAAAATAATTGAGATTTATAATATGAAATTAGTTAAACTCAAGTACTGTGGTTTGCCATTCAATTCACCAGAGGTTTTGCCATCTATTGAACAGATTGAGCATTCGTTTGGAGCAACTCATCCTGGTGTTTACGATAGTGACAAACAAGTATATTTACATTTTCGTCTGTATAAAGGATTAGTAAGGATCTGTGGAGATAGAGTGTTGTTTTTTTTAGGTATTTGTGTTAAATTTCCGAGGACTATCGTTTTACTTCCCCATTGACTCAAAATTTCAACCTGGGTATGCACATGGATTAGGATCATTACAATTTCCAAACGGAACATCTCCCCTTGTGGCAAAAACAGCCATTTATGTTGGTAACATGGGTGCTGGAAGTGGAAGCGATGAACATAATTTAAAGGCACCGCCACCACCTCTACCGCTTGTAATTATTTTTTATTGGTATTATAGAATGAAATGTATGAATATCAAAGCAAGATTGATATCATATAACCATGTTTTGCCAGGTTTGCTATCATAACAATTTGTATTTAGAAAAGGCAGATGTTATGCGGGACAAAATTCGTACACGAGGTCTTAGATTGCACCTCTTTACAGAAGGCAGCTCTGTAACAAGGGTATTATTAGAGCCAAAAAAACGCTGCTTAACCAAAGAGGTTATAATTTATAATTTAGTTTGTTGAATTTGTATTCCTAGTCTAAATCTCTTTATATCGTTATTATTACACTATAAAATGAATAAGTTGCTCCTATAGTTAAATCTTGTGATAAAGATTTTATGTTTTATTTATATTTTATGTGACAATTGTAGGTGTTATTCGGTGACACTTGTGAAGATGTGCTGAGCGCCTTGGGAGCACCTTCTCGAGTGTTTTTTAAAGCCGAGGATAAGATGCGCATTCACAGCCCTCACGCACACAAACGTGATAAAATAAGACGATCAGATTTCTTTTACAACTATTTTACTTTAGGATTGGTAATTTTTTTATTTTGACGTTCCACGTTTAAAGCGAATCAAAACACGTATCTAAACATATACATGTTGCTCATAGGATGTTTTATTTGATGCCAAAACTCAATGCGTTAAGAAGTTTGTGTTACACACAAATTATCCGGGCCATTATAATTTTAACATGTATCATCGTTGCGAGTTTTCTTTAACTCTTCCGCCAGAAAATAATTCCACTGAATCGGGGAAACTCATAGATGTTTCTCCTTCTCCAGTTACGGTACGACATATATATTTCGAAATGAGAGTTAAGATAAACAGTGAAAGTATTGATGAGTGTTTAATGTCTAAGATTATGACAGTTTCAATAATTGTTTGTTTTTTAGATCACTGCCTATACGAAATGGGATAGAATAAGCGAGCAATTGAAGGCTAGTGCACGGCCAGTAGTATTGAACCGTGCTTCCTCAACGAACACAACAAATCCATTTGGGTGTACATTTTGTTACGGTATACGCGATGCAATTGTTGAAGTCATGGCGAATCAACACATCGCAAGTGTAACTTTATACAGAGCGGTGTGACCTTGATAACTTATACAGTATAATGGTGCATTATAAAGCGCTCTTTGAGGAGCAATTGATGGAATGGTGTTTTGAAAAAGATGAAAACATACAAAAAATAAGCATGTTTTAACTTTGTTGGAAATTGCATGATAACATCATCTTTGAAAAAGACTGTACGATGCAAAGGGAAATAATGAGAGTGCATGCAAAATCCTCATGCAGTTTCGTTTTTTTTTTTAACTAATGTAATAACATGTGAGAATTTTAAATAAACAGAATTAAAAGGAAAAAAGAAGAAAATTGCTGAGAAAGCAATGGTGGTGTAAAGCTCAGAAAAACAAGCGATATCATTTTGAATATCATGTATTGTTGCTTGTAATGATTTATATTTTTTTCTCTGGGATATCTAAAGCCAGAGAAATGAAACAAAACAAAATGAAAAAAAAAATGAAATAATATCATAAAAAAAAAATAAAAAAAATAAAAAAGACGATCAACTAAGGGGTACAAGTGTCTGCAATATTCAATAATATCATATTTAATATACCGTTTTTATCTTTTGGTTATAAGTTTTAAATATAGTTAAAGAATAAATAAAAAAAAATGATCTTGCGTGAGCGACGAATATTATAATATTTGAGCTCGATAATAAAAAGAAAAAGAAATATAAAAAAAAGAAAGTAGTTTCAGAAAATAACAGAAATTTTGATAGTTAATGATAAACTTATGATGACAGTAACGATAAAATATAATAACGTGCTTAGTGCAAGTAAAAGAAAAAAAAAACAAAATATCTAACTTTCGTAAACCAAAATTTTATAACGTGTGTTTAAGATAACAGACAAATAGAAACTAAAAAAAAAAAAAAATGAATGATGATACAAAAGCGATGTTTTGGGTATACAAATTAATAGACGTAATACATATTAGAATGGCATTATCCATTCAATCTGTGCAGAATTGAATGTAAAACCGCAAAAGTCTAACAAGAAACGATAGAAGTGTACATTAAATAACAAAAGCGATATCTATCAGTGCAGGAGGAATTTAAATTCATGGCCTGTTTTTTACGCTTTTACCTATCAAACTCTGATCATTGTGATACGTGACGAAAATTCGCGATACAATTTTAATTGTTACTTCTTTGCATTAACACGAACAAAATAGAAAAAGAAGAAAAAAAGAAAGAAAGGATATTTAACTAATTACTTTCTTATACATTTTTTGTGACGTTACATAATTCTTGTGATTATAAGTGTACTCTCAGAACTGAATTAGTCTTTAATTTTAGTCATGTACTGGAATACTACAACACTATGAATTTGTCACGAAGCTTATAATGCCAGAAGAAAAGTTCTTTTCATTTTTTTTCTATTCTATGAATTTGAGACTTCACGTTGATGTTAAATTGCACAATCATGTATACCCTATATCAACTTGTTTCCCGCTAATCGTAGGGTATAAAGGTAAATATGTTTTATGTATGGTATAAACTTTGATAGTTGATAATCTACAGCGGTTATAAGATCTGTAATGAATAATAATCGTAAAATATAAATAACAAAGAGTGCGTTCAAGATTGGCACGCAAAGTATGAATGATGAATTACTTTGATTAACACTTTTGACTGCACAGATTCGTGACGATTTTCCTTCCTATATACCGAATTAGTGAAAATTTTGTGGTCCATGGTTTATAATATAATTCTCTGTAAATTGTACGCTTCTGTACCCTTCATTGGACACAGATGATATTTTTCATTTGAAGTTCAAAGTTGAAAAGTTAAGTGATCTCAGAACATATACATACATATATATCAAGATTCGAAAGTAAAAGCGATGGAATAAATAACGTTATCAAGAAAAAGTGTTAATTAACGCATAATTGTACAAAAAAGCTTTGAGAAACGTGAAACTGCGTGTTTATCTGCGGGTGTTTTTGTTTCTCAAAATCCTATTTCGATGGAATACCTCCTGTTTTTGTCGACTTTGACTATGTCAATACTGTTTTGCGTGGAAATTATTTTCAAGTAAATATATAGAGCATAAAATTCTCTAAATAAGCTTCACTGATCTTCATCCGTCGACGCAATAACAAATTTTCAAGGCAGGTAGAAGTAAAAAAGAGAAGAAAAACGAAATCAGTGAATCTTCTAGAAATTGTATTCTCTATATAGTTATTTTTAATAATTCTTCTCGAGAAATCTCTCTATTTAGTTTATACAGAAACGAATCATTTTATATTGAATGGATTATAAAATTATGTAAAACGATTTTGTATAAATTATTTTTCCTTCAATGTTTTTTTCAATCTTTACTGATTCTCATGTATTTTCTTTGTAACAAATTCATATGTACACGTATATTGTGTCGTTTGAAATATTCTTAATTATAATGTTCAAATTGAATTAGAATGAAGTAAATTTCGCGACAAGTCAAACAATTTCTTTTTTTCTTTATTTTTTCAAATATTTACTTACTTATTTTCTTCGACGTGCGTTTTTCAAAGCGTCCAGTCCATAAGAGATGCAATTCTTTTGCCGCGACCCTGAATTTCGAGATGATTTGAATCTGTTCATCTTGATTTCATTTAGCTTGTCTCCTTGTGTCATAATATACGAATCCGTAACTCTGTATTTCTGTGGAACTCGTTCTGAATCGTTTGATCCACGGAAATTTCTTAATTTTCCTATAAATAAGCAAAGATAAAAAATTGCGTTGTACACTATTTATTCCATGATGTAGTTATATAGTCTAAATTCTTTTTTATTCTTGAAGTTTATAGTTTATTTTTTATAAATGTGACTAAAATATCTTTACGATGACTTACACTTTAGTTTTATCACAGTAATGATATATAATAAGAAAGTTGCACAAGGTGAACACTATCATCTGTTAGAAATTCTAAATTGAACTAACTGAAATTAGATGTGCGCGCAGACGCGCATTATATGGCGGGATATCTGTTATACATATGGCGGGAAAATAGATAAACTTGATTTGTTTTATTAATAATTTAAATTTGAATATAAAATATTTCTTGGAACATATTCTAATCATATTTTGTTGCATTTTTGAGTCATTGATTGTCATAAATAATTATATTTTATGTTAATTTTGATTTATTATCAATGTTCCATCTGTATTAGCTGCGCGCGCAGCTATCGACACAGGTGAAATATCGATTAATTAATAAGAAGTCAATATTATTTATATATCTTTTCTTACATTAAGATCTTATAAGAATAAATTTTCTAGTAGTTTGTTGTTTTAATTTGAATGAATATTTTGTTCTAATTGGGTAAATTGAATATATATTTCTAGATGTTAATGAATCTGAATCTATTAGCAATCGATATTGAGATGCGTGCGCATACTTCTAACACAGTTTTGGCGCGCGACCGTTGCTTTATACACGTTTCGGTGTACTCTTGAAATTTTTCATAATTTTAGGTTTAAAATACTATTAACATTCTCTTCCAACATGAAGATTCAAACTATTACCTCCATAATGGTATGTATTTATGTATAATAATATAATTTAATAACTTTTATAATGTAAAAAAGCAAAATATCATATGTTAGCATTTCAAGGTCATTGTGGCCATGTTCAGTATTAAAGATTTACTTTAATTTTGATATTATTGTAAAAAAATTAACTTAAAAATATAATTTTCGATTAAAAAAAAGGACATTCTATTGTTGATAAGTATAATATATATGCATATGTGTGTGTGTGTGTGCGTGTGTGGGCGCGCGCGCGCGCGTGTGTGTACTACACATATATAGTACTATATATATATATATATATATATATAATAAAGTAATATAGTATACATAGCATATAATGCAATATACTATGTTATATTCTATATATATGTACATATATTAAAAAAAATTTTTTAAATATTTATTTAAAATTAAGAAATAAACAACTAAAAAATTATTAATTTTTCGGTAAATACCTAAAATTCTTGTAAATTTCGTTTTGCCTTTTTTCTCGATCGGCATATTATTACACTTGTTAGGCTCTGAAACAATAAAATGTTACATTAAATAATTGTAACTCTAATTTGAAATCAACGTTTTTTTCTATAATTATTTTCTTTTTTCAGATCAATACTTTCTCATCAAAGCAGAAATCAAAGCTTTTTGATATGAAGAATGGATTGGAAATCATATTTTCCATAGGTAAAGTTCTTATTGGCCTATAATAAATAGCATCAAATAAATTCTATATAGCCTTTTCTCATATCTTTATTGGTGGGTTTTAATTATAGAGATTTACCTGTGCACCCTTCGTCGGTTGTGTAGTGTAAGTTCCTTTCCTGCTTGTCCACAATTGAATATATTCCGCATTTGTGATGCAATATCACATCACTATCTCCATAATACTTCAGTCTGCGAAATAGACACATCATCACGAAACAGGTAAATATTTCTCCCTTATATTTTTATTAGAAATTAACAATAAAAAAAGGAATATTTTAATATTATTTATATGTATGATAGGAAATATGAATTACTTATATTGTTGACCAGCATTCAATAAATTTTTTTCTCCATTTTCCAACCAGGCTTGTTGATGTCCAATAACTGAACCAGGCCTGCAAATCCTTACCCAAGCAATAGCTTCTCTAGCCGTCATTTTATAATGCTTTATTAAATAAGCAGCGATCAATGAACCTGTTCTTCCTAGTCCAGCCTGAAATGTTGTTTATGTAGAAAATGAAAATGTAAAGTGGAGGTAGATTAGAATGTTGTTTAAAGAGCTTCGAATAACTTTGCAATGAATTGCTATTGGCCCACTGGTATTTTCGCTTAGTTGCAAAAATTCATTCAGTATTCTCCTCGGTGGTACCGTGCCGTCTGGCATGAACATATCGTAATGCGCGATTCCTACCTCAGTGAATCTATTTTTAAAGCATTATTTTAATTTCATTCTAAATTTAAAATTATGAAAATTGTGTCAACAGTATAACTTCCAGAAAATGTTATTCTTTTATTATCAATTAATCAATACTTGCAAATGATATATCTTTTCTATAATTAAATAGTCTCATAGAGATTATTAATAATAAGATTGTAAAGTGGACTTTTACCTTGATGCATCGTATACTTTCTTATTCAATCTAACCACGGCTGTGACTTGATTTTTTAAAAAATAATCAATGTAACACTCGGGCGGATGATAAGGGGTGTCTGGTTCTGTGCTTGGACCAACAAAAGCCAGGAACTTTTGTGGTACCATCCAGTTCAAACCACCGTTTCTCATGTCTTCGTACTTTTCATATTCGAACACGTCAAAATCATCAAAATTAAAGAAACCAAAAGAAGCTGCTTTTTTAAGCGCGTGCAAGCAATCTGTTCTCATCAAATTAATTATACAAGAACAATTTCAATAGAATTCATTTTTCAGCTTCTAATTTCCACAAATGTCATTACCTAACAAATGAAGACTGTAAATGGCTGATCCCATGGAGGCATCTCGGAACGATTTTATAGGAATTTCACCTCCCATGAAAAGAATGTTGTAAGCTTCTTTTGGATTTTTGTTCAAGTACAATATCGCGTAAGAGGCAATCAAATACGCAGCATTCGCTCTTTTGTGGTCCCGTTGCGAAGTATAGTGAACGATTTGTCTATGCTCGTTACCTGGGCTCTCAAGTTTCTTATTTATCTTACAACAATATCTGTAAAAGGAATTATTAATCATCTTATGATTTAATAGTGATCACAATGTTTTAGTTAATTTGGCAAATTTTGATTGAATTATATTTATTTAATTATACAATGTGTATAATATTAAATGTATATTAAAGTTTGCTTTACTTATGTAATTGAAAATATTGTAGACAAAGGATAATACTCGAGGAAAAGCTAAACAGGTATTATTATTTAGAAGTAGAAATGTATTTAAAATTCTTACTTGTACAAACAAGCGATGTTTAAGGGGCCAAAGTCGTTGTAAAAGTTATTGTAAATTAGCTCGTCGTCGATCGTAAAAAAATGAATATTGGACGTGCTTTTTACATCTTTCCGGCCGTTGCGTAACGTTGCAAAATAGAATTTGTCTTTTATATATTCGCATATGTAAGTAACATCGGGATGTTTATAAACTGTAGTGATTTCTAATGGGGAAACGAATATAAAAATTAATATAAACAAGAAGATTTCTATTAGCATCCATTTCATAAGTACCATCTGGATTGATGTTTCTATTATCGTAGCTATGATAGTTCTTTCTCGAGAATCCAAAATTTTTTTGTTCGTACATTGCGAATGGATATCGAAACGCGCTATTTCCTATGCGCGCAATTATTTTCTATGAGCGTCACACTTTGTAAAACGACCATTTAGTATATTTTAACCTCAATTGATCGTTTGTAAATCCAAAGGAGTTTATTATTGTCTAGATTCCTTCGCGATTGATCCTTGATTTTTAAAAGTATCCCAATCATATCTTGTACGGAGATCGATATGGCTCTTTTCGTTAAATTACGGGATAATATCAAAGACTTGTTCGTTTTATTATCAAAGATAGTTTCCGATTACAAAATTGTAATTAACCAAACACATGATTCTCTGAGCCTAGAGAAGAAAACGATACGAAAGAGAAATAGTTTCCTTCATATTTTTTTAGTTCGTGGAAAATCGTAGTTAACAACAATTGTGTAATACACGCACCTTGAACAATTTTCATTTCCTAACAAAATAAAATCTGCTCTTAAATTTATCGTTGTTCGGCACGCCAAATTACTGATTTCATGTTTGTGAAACGTCTCTACGTTTTTCAACTTTTTCTCTTTCATCGTGAAAGCTGATTGGATTGGTCAGTTCTTTTAGATCATGTAATATATACGATGTAATGATATTTTAGAACAATTGTGCTAATGTTTTGATAATTAATTTTTAATAATGTTTTCTCAGGACGAGAGGCGAGAGGAAGTGGCAAAAACATCAAACAACGCTACGAAGGGTGAGTCGAAGTTTTTCTTTCGCTCTGCTTGCAGACATCCATAATCGTTGCTTTACGCTTAATTAAAATGCACGTCCTTGCATGCCTTTGTCATTTCTTTTCAAAAAAAGCTTTTAAAAAGTTTCGTAAAACTCAACGGTGATTAACTGAAATGTATCTTTGAAAAGATGCACGCGATATATGTGATATATACATATGTGCAAATCAAGACAATAATATAAACGATATAAATTCCAATAATAACAAGATATTCCAATAATAACAAAGTAAAATTAAAAATTGCAATAAAGAATATAGAATCCATAGATCATAGAGCATCAAAAGCTGTTACAATACACTAATATAACATATCAATATATTAACAGTCTTTATTATACAAAATTATTTATACAATTTATATTATATACGGCATATTACGTATATAATTTATACTTTTATGTTGTGCAGTTTATATTGTATCGTGCCTATTTATTATATATTTATAATTCATATTTATTGTACTATTTTTATTATACAAACACAGTGCCCGAAAATTTTTTAGCTGGGCTGTACATTTGATACATTTATTATACACGCATCTACAGTCTGTAGCATACAATGTCAGAGTGTGTATTTAGAGTTTAAACTAGTTGCAGATGGTAATCTCTCCTAAATCTTTCATATCGCTCGACAAACACATTCTTCTTTATCCATCTTGCGGAAAAAGCACTGTCTTTGTTCTACCGCCACGATACAATTTGTGAATGCACCGGGAAGTAGTTTAACATGCAACGTAAGGCCTAAAGCGTCTGATCGGTATTTACGATTCAAGAGAAATCTTTCGCGGGACAACAAGGCGGCTCTGTCCATCCATGTTCCATGCATCCATTCCTTGCGTCCGTCAATCCGTTATAATTTCTCCGTTAATAGAATCCGAGATTTCGTAGCGATCCGTGCGACGCATTCGAAATCCGCCCTGTCGTCGCCCGTTCTCTTTTCCTCTTTTCGTCATCTTCCGTTCCTTTGCCTCTTCATCGATCGAACCATTGCTTTCTACTGTTACTTTTACACATTGTTACGGAGGAGTCCTCCCTGATTCCGCTATTCTTGTAACGTATATCTCTGTATCATAGTCGTGTGTTAATAATCCTTTATATATGACAGATAAACTAAATTTCAGCTGTCTACCGCTTGTCTGTCCGTGAAGGCCTGATTCTACTTCGAGTTCGTCTCAACAGAATTCCATTTACTCTTGCGTTAAAGGACGGATTAATATCTAATGCAATTATAGCTGTTGTTTTGAGAATTTTCTCCATCATTCCGAGAGCTTAACCGATGATCATTTACTACGATAAAATCTATAAAACGCGTCTAGAGATCCTCCATAGACATCTGTAGAGAATTAATTTCGAATTGATGAAATTTAGTTGTATTCCTTTGAAACATCGTTTCAGTTCACACCGTTACGTACATTTTATATAGCAAAATTTCGATGATTTCCTCCGTTTTGTAATTTATCAATATTCCATACATTTCCTTCTTTTACTGTGTACAAATACTATGTACAACTTCTTTGTGTCTTTTGCTCCAACATTCTCACGGTTTCCCCTTTCGTTTGTCTTTATCTCCCTCGTACCGAGATTTATCGTTTCAAATTTCGTTTCTCCGCGGCTCCGTTACCAAGAACGTCTCCCAGTCCCTTCATCTCTTCGATTTCTCCGTACTGTCTCCTCCCGTTCTCCATTTTCTCCCCTTTCTGCCGATAAATCTGCCCCTCCCCCCCTCCTCGCCTTTCTCTTTCCTTTCTCTTTCTCTCTCTCTCTCTCTTCGCCCTCTTGATAATTCCATTCCCAACGCCTCCACCCTTCGACAATTATCTCCTTGTCTCTCCTTTTTTTCTGTCTACCACGACTCTCTCCGTTGCATCTTTTATTCTTCACGTCTGCGCCTCTCCTCTTCCTGCACTCTTGTCCCTTTTCTTTTCTCTGTTTTCTGCTCAGCTTCCTACTTCAAGCGATGGCGTTCGAGTTCGAAGTAAGAATTGAGAAGCTCGGAGTGAAAATCTTCGGGGCAAAATAGCTAAAAGTCTCGGAGTGAAAATAAAATCGTAAATTTTAGGGTGAAAATTTTTGAAGTAAAATGTTTGGAAGTTTTGGAGTAGAAATTTTTGGAGTAGAAAGTAGTTTGGAAGTTTTGAAGCAAATAAAATATTTGCAATTTTGGAGTAGAAATAATTTATGATTCTAGATTGCACACTTCACGTTTTAGTAAATAATTATTTAAGTTACTATTCAATATGTTTTCTCGATTCAAGTAGAAACCAAACTTGCTCGGTCATCTTCAACGAGTTGCTATTGTTTACTTATAGAAACTTCTCACACAATCATCGTTCCTTGAGAAAAGATCATTTAAGGTTGTCTTGTAAGCTAGTGTCCTTTATTTATAGTATGTTGCCTTTATCAGAGAGACGATAAGTTGACACGTGTAAAAGTGACTAAACAATGATAAGATCGCGTCGGATTCATCAGAGTTGTTTGTTAGTTGGTTATTTAATACGTGTTTTGTAAACCTTAGTTTTATTCGCTTATCGTTCGATTTGAATTCACAGTAGATCTGATTATGAGAAAAGATCTGTAGCTGAGAATACTTTTATGCATTATTTATATGTTTATTTTATATTTTTTATGTGTATGAGTTATCTGACTATTTCGATCTTCAAATTTCGAAAAGAAATCTTTGATTTGAGGAAACTGCCGCTTAATATCAGAATATTAAAAACTAAAACTAAAAATCATTAAAATTGAAACGATTAAAAAATAAATATTATATTATTAATATTACTTTAAATAATCATTAGCGTTACATTTAACATATAACAATTCTATTATTAGTCAATGAAGCCAGAAACGAATTAGTTGTGCAACGGAGTTGAAACATTAAAGAGTTTTAAATAAATATCTTCCACTAGTTGATAGTCTAAATAAATATCAATAGTTGATAGTCTAATTAAGTATCGAAGGTTAATCTTTATTGTATCAAAACTAAAGGATAGCGTAAGATATCGTAATGAAGCACAGTTTTTGTTCTCCGTAAGCAGAAGGGAATCCAGTTATGGAGGGTCAAATTAGTACTCCAGTCGCGTGAAATTTCGACAGCCAGTTCCTCTTAGTCTTCTCTACGCGTAGATGTATTTCTTCTTGCGGTTGATTTGATCCCCGATTTCGAGTGAAGTCATTGTTTGTTTCGGTGGGGAATTTGCGACGTTTAATTGGAAGAGACACCACTTGGAGCATCGAGCAGTGAATTAGTTAGACTGCGGATGTACCCAAGATGAATCACATAACGACAATGTGTCATCCACTCGAATGATTCAGCTGAAAACAGTCGTTTTGTATCGAGTACCATTCCTCGAGCCGAGTACGGTTATTTGTAAATTCGATTCTTTCGAATGGCAAAATATTTACAAGCGGTGCATCCTCGAACTCTGCAGATTTTCTCTGTAGGTTTCATTTATATCCGTCGAGATAAAATAGAAAAAAAGAAAATGAAAAATGAAAAATCTTCTCTTCAGAAAACAATTTGTATCTGAAAATATCGACCGTTGAAGCGTAGAAAACGGGACAAACATAATTTGCAAGTTAATAATTACTCTCGACAGAGAAACGAGCTGTAAAACTTCGTGGACGTATACCGTACGATAAAACGACGCATACAGAGATTGTTTCGAATTCGATTGATCGGCTGGCAGTTAAGGAATGGTTAATTATGGTTTATGAATGCGACTAGCATTGTACGGTGGGTGGGAACGCCGAATATGGCTGCCGAGATGGAAGATGAGCGTGGCCGATCGAGACGATGCCCGGCGAATAAGGACGTGACGTAGTCATATCCTCGCGTATAAGGAAAAGCGGATTCGCTGTTAATAGTCAATATGCATTAGAGAAACAATGAGCGGATCTTCGTGCCGCACACGACGACCACGACGACGTATGACCGCAGAAGAGGATGTTGGTCGCGAGTACTCTGGCTCGTGGACACCTTCTGGAAATTTTTAACGATCGGCCTTGTCCCATCGGACGAGTCATCGCGTTTGTCCTTCGACGACGTTGCTTAGCCCTTTTCTTATCGAATTCTTCGTTGAGAGGCACAAATCTTTCATTAGTTTGACTTGTCAGTAATTAATTTCGATTCTTCTTCACAGTTATTTGACTAAAAGTTTCTCTGAATCCTTGAAGAGCAGAAGAATTGTTTCTGAAGAAAAGAATGTTCTAGAGAAATACTTTTTGAGTGGCGTAATTTTTCTTTTTTTTTTTTTTTTG